CAAGCGCGGGGGATGAAAGGGCGCTGGCGGGTCCCCGGGAGCGCCGGTGGCAGCAGCGAGGTCACGGCGCCGCCGATCCGAGCTGCCCGTGGGGAGCGCGGAGCTCCATGGAGGTGACCCCTGCACTCGGGGTCAGCGGGCTCGGCGTGCGTCAGCCCCGAGCGGCTTAATCCCAACCGGGCAGGGGGAGGAGCGCGGGGGGACGGCGGATTCCTGACCCACAACCGAGCCTGGCATCTTCTCCGCAGCGCCGGGGCCACCTCCCGACGTAACCGGATAGGGCTGAGTGGTGCCGCCCTGGCACTGGGAGGGTGAGGAGGAATAATAGAAACAGGCAGCAGAAAATGTAAAGCCAAAAAAAAAAATTGCTTTTGTCTTGGGAAAGCAGCAGCCCTTTGGACGGCTTTGTCCTCCCTGAAATAGCTTTTCGTGTTACCCAAAAGCAGTATTATATATATTCTAATATTCTGTAGAACATTATTTCAGACGATCTTTTGTTGGTTTTTTTGTTTGTTTTTTAGTTGTTGTTGGTTTGTTTTTTTTTTTTTTATAGTTGGGTTTTTTAAAAATTTTTACAGTAATCATGTGGCAAAGCTTGAAATGCTTGTGACTGATCCGATATGTGGGAAAATAAATAAATCTGTCCCCAGGCTTGCCAGCAGGATTCCCCATTTCCCAAATATATGGCTCAGCCTGTGCCTGCTCTCATYCCCAGTCATTCCTGCAGCACCACAGGAAATGCAATGCAGGGACACTCAGGGTTTGCTGCAGCTGGAAACCCACGGGTGAAGCTGTGAATYGCAGGGAGCTTTGTGACACTTTTCTCACAGAAATGGTCTGTTTGGGATAGGCTTAACTGGAAGCAGCTGCTGCTGCAAGGAGCCTCACAGGGTGCCATGGGACAGTGAACCCCTTCAGGTGGAGACAGAAAACAGTGTCTCTTAATGGAATATTCCCTGGTAATGTGGTTTGTTCCCTTCACTGGAACTGCCAAGTGTGCCAGGGACACGCCCTGGAAGAGGAGCTTCCCTTCATCCCTGTGCTGTGGGAGAGGCTTCAGCCAGCTCAGGCTGCTGGAAACAGGATGAACTCTGGTGWCTGTAACATCACCCACCGCCCCAAGTTGGCTCAGAGCACCCCTCTGCTTCCTGATGAAGAGCTCATCCTCACCCTCCCACAACTGAAGAGTCGAGCTAATGGCACTTCACGGGGTTTGGACATATGTCCACCGGGAAACGGGCTGCATCTGACTGTGCCATGTCACACAGGCTGCAGATTAAAGAGCAGCACATCCAAATGAGATTTATCTACTCACCCCCCGAGATGTCCTCCCCCTGTGCACAGAGGCAGCTGTTTGGTTGTTTAAGATTTAAAATCATCTACCACTGAGATASTCTTCCACAATGAGGCACAATTGGGAAGAAGCTAATCAACACACTTCTTAAAACCAGAGAAGGGAAAGGCTTGAAGGGAGCTTYAAGTGATTCCCCAGGTTAGATGCTCTCCTTGCTTTCCTCGTCCTCTCTGCTTAATTCTTCCAACTTTCAAAATGATTCTTCACTCRTGTTTCTCTTTTTCTCACAAAATCAAATTCTAATGCAGATAGAGAAGGATAGGAATGCGTTTATTTCTTTGCTATTTTAGTACAGGTATCCACATTACTTCTGACCACAGTTCCTCATAATGGTATAGTAAAAGAAAAAAAAAAAAACAAAAAAAAAAGATGAGTGGACTTGTAGGTGCTTTGAAAAAGCTGAAACTTAGCCCAAGTTTCAGGTTCTGAAGGATTGATGGGTCCTGCTGGGCCATGACACCACTGCTCGTTGCACAGCTTGTCTTCTCTTATCAGGGTGTGAAGAGTCAGCTGGGAAAGAGCAGATCTGCAGGCCCATGAGGAGGAATTAAACATCCCGGACAGATGTCGGCTCAGGTCTGTGCAGTTTCAGCTGAAGCTTTCCAGGCTGGTTTTGACCCGTTCCATTTCATGCAGAAAACTGTAGAACTGGGGCAAAGTTAACTCTGCAGAAAAAAAAAAAAAAAGAGAGACATCAAGTCTTACATTTCAGGCTACACTTCCAACATTGGCAAAGCTGTTCTGGTGCTAACACAGAGCAACTCATGTTCACCTAAGCTGGGCAGGATTAGCCACCATGACTCCCAGCAGCTGGTTCCTTACGCTAGCCAGGCTGCCAGGAGAGGGCTGGGCTGGGATCTCCCCCGGGATGGCATCTCCCAACAGCACTCCATGATTGGGAATCATTTACTTTGCTCCTCTCCCATGCAGCTCTGCACAGCTCCATGGCAGAGCTGTGTTTACTGAGGCACAGATGTGAAGATGCCCGAAAGTCAGTGTTCCTGAACAGTTCCATAGTGTCTGTGGCAGGGAGAAACTGTGGCAGGAGCAGCCACAGCGATGGGAAGGAAAAGGCAGGAGTAGTCACAGCGATGTTTTTGCAGTGACCCCCCCAGTTCTGCCCCCAGATTCCCCCACCTCCAGCACCCTGAGCCCCAAACTGCAGCTTTCYCATCCCATCTTCTTGTCCAGAACTGTTAACTCACCAACATACACGTTTTCCAGTTGGCTCCCTTTTTTAATCACCAGCTTCAGCTTGGGAAAAGGAAAAGCAGAGATATTTTAGTTCAGAGATCTGTATCTGAGCACTAGGAGAGAACAGCAGAGCAGAAATCTGCTGTGAGTTTCAGACTGCTGCACAGCACACACATCTTTGACAGGCTTTTCAAGAAGTGTCACCGTAGGAACAGATTCCCTGGACATTGGGAGGATCTCTGGAAGTCCTTGATCCCACCTCCCCTCCCTCCCCAAGATAGTTGACCTTTGCTAAACTGAGCTTTTTGAACTCAGCTTTTCAGAGTGGGCCACATTTCTGTGATACCTCATGTCCCCAGAGGAGAAACAAACAGCAGCGTGTCTGCTCTCTGCTGGCAGCAGCATTTGGAGACTKAAGATGCAGTCACAGAGCCCGTTCCTCCCAGACCCAGCTTCCCTCTCCTTCCCCTCACAGCCAGTACATCCCACATGCCTGGCTGGAGCTTGTTCCTCAACTGCACTACAACCYGAACTCTGTGATGTGGGAGATTTACCTGTAAGAAGATACTTCCCACTTTTTCCAGCTCACTGCTCCCAGCAGTCACTGTGAGTCAGAAAGAAGAGAAGGCAGATAATCTGTTAGTTAAGCAGTGAAATAAAGCGTTATTTAGCCAAGGGCTGCTGCTGGGTTTCCCAACCCCTCCAGTTGATGTTGTATCTCCATTACCTCCAAACTTCCACTCCATATCTATCAGCTGGTTAATCATCAGTGTCTGACCCACAGCCAGGCGTGTTAAGGTGGGGGAATTCACCTTCCACTGCAAGAGCAAAAGACACCAGCAATTAATTCTGAGAGGCCTCTGTTTGTACCTGAAACTTCTCAAAACTCAGAACAAAGGCAGAGGACAGGAGAAGCCCAGAGTAAAGAGAGAACTAATGTGGTCAGGAGGGCTTTCAGAGGTGTTTGAGTCCTGCTAGGATTTCCATCTGCCCTGTCAGTCCTGTAAATGAAACTCACAGGTTTTGTTTTAGCACTGGTTCAGTGTAACAATATCTGTGCAAAAAGCCATGTGTTCRTGTAACTGCATGACCTCGGGGCTCAGAGCATGGGAAGCACAAAAACATCACATGAAAGCCACACAGCAGTGCAGGAACTGTGACACTGATGGGGGAGAGGCCCTGGCAAAGCAGAGGTATCATCAGACAAACTGCTCCTTATTAGTTCTCTGAGGATCTTCAGTTCAAAATCCCAAGCTGGTTTTGAAGAAAATACCCAAAGTGCCGACACGTCTCAGGAGCACAGTGGGGTTCTACGAGTTCCCACTCACAGAACTGACATTTTGTTAGCTTAGAAACAAGCAAAAATATATGAATACCTGTTCTGCAAAGTAACTGGCTTTCTCTTCACTGAGGCCTGTGAGGGGAAACCATATGAGATTAYTATATGTGATAAATATTAATTATCTTTTATTTAGTGAAAGTCACGTGACCTACCTAGAGCAATAAAATCTGCTCTGACTTGTTCAGAAGACAAATTCCTCTTCAGGGCACCTGAATAAACACCACAAAGAAAAATCACTTTTTACTGAGTCAAACCAATCTTTACTGAGTCAAACCAATCTTTACTGAGTCAAATACAGGCAGGGACGGGACCTGGCGATGGATGGAAAGCCTCTGCTTCTGAGCTGTGTTTTGAAGCAAACCACAGCTCCTGTGAGATCGGAAACCCAGTTGTGCCTGCCGGTATCTCTGCARATGCCCGGTGCTTTAAAAGTCCGGGCTCTGGGAGTGCCTGGGAGAGGGCGAGATCCCATTGCAGGTATCCATGGGAACAGCGGCAGCGGTTATGTTTTGAAGCTGCTGCTTTCTCTCCTGTAGCCGCTTTGCTTGTTAAAGGAGGACTGTTAAGGCTGGCGGGCTGCTAATTTGACCTACCTGCTGTGTTTGGGATGATGGGTGTGAACGTGTGCATATAACACTTTCCCCCGCTGCGCCTTCCCCCTTTGTTCTGGGGCCCAGCTAGYGCAGGGACCTTTACAAGGATTCTGCTCTCTGAAGCCAAGAGCAGGAATCTCATAAATTCAAGGAGACTGCCAGCCCCACGTGGTTTTCTGGCCGTGTAGCACAGAGGCAAAGTTATCTGCTGTGATCTGTTCTGATACCGTCCGTGGCATCCCAGAGCTAAGGAAAAGTTACAAAGGGATTGAAGCCAGAGCACACACACAGGAACGACAAGATGAGGGCACCAAGGCCTGAATCATGATGGGAGAAAACACAAGTTCTGCATTAAATCCCCACAGTGGCAGGAAAGAAAAATCTCTCTACTCCTGGATAGGAGAAGTGGCTTGAAGTAGTAGAACAAGTTTAGAACAAATTCAGAAAACAGTTGTGCTCAGCATAAGGGCTGTGAAGGAAGCTATGGGGAAGCCAGGRCTGAAGGGTAATAGCAAGGGACTATTAATAACAAGAAGGATCAATGGGATGAATGTGCCGTGGAGTGTTTGATGCATTACCATGTCAAACGGCAGCCACAGCATCACAGTAATCCTGTAAAGTGATGGAGTCTGGGGTATTCCAGTGGAATCACCCCCGAACCTCTTCCTCACAGTTTATGAACAAGAAAGAGCTGAACACATTAAGTGCTTCTCTAGAACATCACTGCAAGGTCAAATGTCTCCTTCACAGGGCCTAGAATTGCACCAGACCCCAGGCCACTCCAAACGGGTGTGTTGTCTTTATCTGTCCCCAATAGCTTGTCCTTGGAGGAATCACAGCATTGGGTCACTTGGGTGGAAGTTCCTGCAGAGACTCGGTGCCAACAGGAGGCTGCCCTGGTCAGGCAACAGGGATTTACAGGTACTGCTTAAACCAAGCACTGTCACGGGGTTGTGCTGCATTAAATGCACAGATATTTAAGGGAGTTTACCTAAGCCTGTGAAATGTGCATACAAGCAGGATATAAAGAATACGAAGTCACCAAACCGGGGAACTTTTGATTCTTAAGTGCTAAGCGCTGGATTAGCTACCATTAACACTTATTGTGCAAACCAAGCCCTGCAGGAATGGCTGGGATGGTTTGGCCTCAGGGCAGGATATGCAAATACATCACTTACCGTTGGGTACCAGAAGAATACTTTTGACAATGTTTTTCAGGGGGCCCAAGCTGATTTTATTCATGGTGGCAAAGTCTGAGAGCTGAGTCAGAAACCTTTCTACCTGCTCGAGAGAAAGAGCAGTGACACAATCTTTTCACTATTTCTGACCAGAGCTGCACTCACACATTTCTCCAGTTCTGCCTTACCTCTTTGGGCTCTGTCAGAAAGCGGAAAAGCACTTCAGTCAGCGCTGAGAATTGCTGTGAAGAAACAGGACAATGTTAGAGTCGGGCATCAGTACCTCACCATCCCACCAGCACGATTAGGAGGTGACGTACACCCCTGATCCAGCACACTGATCCCAGAGCTGGACYCCCTGTGCTGGTGCCCTGTCCTCGGCATTATGTGAGGCCTGTGGATGGGATTTGCTCAGGATGCTTTTCAGAGCCKCTCAAGGGGTCTGTGCAGCTGGTAGCTGGCACAGCACAGGGCTTTTGTGACTTGTGGCTAATCGGAAGCTGCTGTTCTGTCTTGTGCAATCCAAAAACTGCGAGTGGTAGAAGTTGTGAACATCCAGTCTCATGTTTCACAAACCTCATGGGGTAACCAGACTAACTCAGGAAAGGAAGAGAACTGGTTAAGGGTCTAGTTGGTGCTTTCAGCGTTCTGGGTGTGCAGCTGGCAGGCAGGGATGGATGGAGAGACGGCCTGAGTGGCAGAGCACTAGCAGCACCCTCCTCTGCTGGCAGCAACACCAATGCTGGCTGTGMCCTTCTGGGTATGGCCACAGTGGCTCATCCTGCCCTGCCCTCGTCCTCAGCCGTGTAACAGAGATGTCACCAGGCTGTTACTGGKCTGATCTCCTCAGTCCTGGCAAGCTGGGCTGGAAAAGCCTCAGCATTTCCACTGACATCAGCCCAATCTCCACATCCGGTGTGCCGGGTGACCTGGAGGCAAATGTACCAATGGCTGGGACCATCAGCTTGAGGCAGGAAGCACAGGGTGTGAATTTGGGATGGGAATCACAACCCAAACGTTCTGTGGTGCCACCAGAAACCCCAAGGCTTGACAGGACCCCACGGCCCACCGGGCACCATCTGAGCCCTYCACCAACAACTCTGCCAGTGTCCCTGCCCACGGCAGGCGGGGGGCACTAGATGGTGTTTWAAGTCCCTTGCAGCCCAAACCGGTGGGGGATTCCATGATTCTATAAACATCCATCAAACACCCCCGCCGTGCGCGGGGCTCGCCCCGCGGATCGGGACTGCACCGCCGGGAACGGGGCCGCGCTGCCCGCCCGACCTCGGGCACCGGGCCCAGCAGGGACCCGGCCACGTGTGCCTGGACACCCGGTGGGATCAGAACCCTGGGGCTGCGCTACCGGACCGATCCAGCCCCCGCTGCCGGCCCGTCCCGCCCGGCACCGCCGCCCCGCGGGTTCCGTGTCCGGGGCTGTCCCCGCCGCCCGTCCCGCCCGTCCCGGTCGCGGCGCACCTGGGCGCTCAGCTGGTTCAGGTTGTGCATGTCGCCGCTCACCGCCTCCGGTACCGGGTCGCGGGTGAAGTTGAGCAGCCCCATGGCGGCGGCAGCGACAGCAGCGGCTCCGCCCGCCCGGGCCCGGCCCCGCCGCCGCCTCAGCCTGAGCATTGGCGGCCGCACTTTCCGCATCGCCGCGGTCCCGCACCGGACCGGCCCGGGGAGCACCGGGGGTGTCCCGCACCCCGAGCTGGGGGCGCCCGGGATGGAGAGCTGGCTGGCAGCCGAGTACCTTAGGATTTTTTTGATGTGAAGGGAAAAAAACCTAAAAAAACCCTCCAAAACCCCCCGAAAAATCCTAAAAAAAAAAAAAAATCGTTAAAAACATCGTTTATAAGGTGAATATTGGGGTTCTGGCTTTATTTTTTTGTTTGTTTGGGGTTTTTTTTGTTTGGGTGTTTTTTTTTGTTTTTTTTTTTGCTTTCTTTTTTTCCTCCCCTGGAAATTCCACTTGGGAACTGAAACTTTGGTGTGCTTTTTTTTCTCTCTGACTGCTGTTCCCAGCACTGCTCGTTGCCCAACTCAGGGTGATGGGTGGCCCGGGGATGAGCAGCCCACGTCCCAGGACTGGGCTCCATGGAATGGAYGGATATTGGGCAAGGAAGCAGCAGCCCTGGGATGAGCCAGCCCACAGACAGAAAGTGCCCAGATGTCCACGGGGTCAGGGTTCCATAGGGAGATTTTAGCTCAATTCTTGCCATTCTACATATGCAGGAGGTCTCCTTGACTCAAAGATGTGTTGTAGGAAGGCAGAGGAATTGCCTTCTCACGCCATGTTACACAATCTCGTTTCTGTTTGGTCTTGGGAAGAAGGCCTTGGTCCAAGAATATTGAAACTGGATTTATTCCTGCAGAGGACAATGGAACAAATCCCATCCTGAAAGACTCCCTTGCCTTAGATTGCTGTTTCACAGCTTCCCTTGAGCGGGAGCAGGATGTCTCCAGGATTMTATCAGTGTGAATGTGTCTGATCCATTTTATCAGGGAAGGTGTTCCCTGTCTGTCGGGCCAGAGGACAGTGTGTAAAAACCTTTGTGGAAGGAAAAACCTCGACAGCCCACAAGGCTTGTGGTTTAYTACTGACACTTGCAATTGCAAATGAGAATATAGGAAATTTTACAGTGCTTTCATTGTGAAACTATCCCAGTGAAACTATCCCAGCAGTGGTTTATAAACAAGGAGATAAGCAGCTAAGTACCACTAATGATGGGGAGTTAAGAGATATTTACTGGTAGTCTGGATGGAAATAGCATCCAACTTCCTTTTCTTTCCTCTCTACTGCCCAGACCAGCTGGGAAAGTTCGTGTTTCATCGACCCAAGGTGAGACTGCGCACCTCGATTTTTGGGTGAAAATGTTGCATGTGGAGGTGCCTGCAGGGTTTGACCATAAATATTTAGGACACCTTTAAACAAGGTGCAGAGTTTTCATATTGAACAATTTCTCTGTTTCTGTGGTGAGCCATCCAAGCCAGCATGTTTTAAACTATGGGAAATCCTTGTGTCTAGAAATGAGTTAATCTGAACTAAAACTCCTTCAGGGAGAAGGATGCAGGGGGTAGTACAGCACACTGTGTGTGTGGAACACAGAATTCCCCTCTGGCTTTAAAATGCTGCATACAGCCTTATGCAATTTTTCCTAAGTGTAAGTTAGTAATTGCAGTTAAAAAATCACACATTTTCACAGACACCAGATTTTTTTTTTTCTTTTTTTTTGTGTGTGTGGCCGAAAACCCAAAACCAGGCAACAGTCAGCTTTCTGCCTGGTTTGCAGCCGGGGTCAGGCATACAGGAGCAGTCTGTGGCGGATCTTTCCTTCCCTGTGTCTTCACAGTGTGATGCTTTATGAGCTAATTAAGAGCAGTCTGGGTGCACGCGTGTGTGCGTGTGCRAGCACGCCGGAGGTACGGCAGGATGGTGACGCCAACGCTGTTAAACAATTTCTCAGGCAGCAAACCAAATTCTTGARGGAAGTTGAGTGACGGGATCCAAGAAGAAGAGTCTCGGCTGAGGTACGTGATCACAACATCCTGTTCCAACAATCACCAGGAAATTCGGTGGTCCTTCCTCCTGGCAGGAGCTGAGGGCAGTGAGGCATGCGAGTGCCACAAACCCCACTATGGCACAGGAGGCTCTGCTCTGCCAGGACTTATTCAGTTCTCAAATCAAGAAGGATTTACTYGAATTAAAGAGAAGGTTGCGGGGTGCTGGCCGTAGTTATGAGGGTGCCTGGAGGGGGATGGTGCCCAGCATCCCGGGCAGARCCCCAGGGCTGCCCTAGGGGTGCAGGCAGCTATCAGCCCATGGGTGCTCCTGCCAGGCCATTCTCATGCAGAACGTGTCGCTGATGGACTCATCAGAGCTGAGGACAGGCCAAGGGCATCAGTTTGGAGTTGCAGGTATGTGCCCTTGTTCACAAATACCAAAGTAAAAGCAGCAGCKGAAAAGCAATGGGGACACACACCAGCACAGGAAAATAGTCTGAAAATGGCGGGCTCCAAATTGAGCAGAGATTCATGTACCCTACTTGAGATGCATTTTTCAGCTTCATTTCACATGTCAAACTTGAACTTTCCTCAGCACTAGGAGACTGTTACTTGGGAAAGGTCCTTATTATGAATTCCCAAGAGATCGAACCTGGGGTGTGCCCATCCTATTCTCTGATGCCATTATCTATGCCAARCTCTTTGCAGTTGCTCCCAGGTCAGCCATGCAGCTGAAGTGGGGAACATTACCTGCATTTTGGAAAACATAAGAGTGTGTGAAGGAGCTGGGGGGGCTTTCACCCAGCTAGTTTGAGCTCACCCACTGTCTGGGTGCTTTGCCCACTTGAAGTGTCTGCTGTGGGCTGGAAACACTCAAAGAACATCTCTGGACACAGCCTGAGGGATGCTGGGACTCCTCCTGCCTGCCCAGCAGAAATTTCAAAGGAGTTATTTCTGTCGCCCTGGATAAATGAGAACTTTGAGACCACGATTTCAGTTCTCCTGCAGCTCAATGCCCCTTGCTCTTCCCCATCACACTCCTGATCCTGTCCCAGGCAGACCCTGCTGCAGGAGTAACTGGCTGCCAGCCTTGCGTGCAAAGGTGGAGCGGGGCTGGGAGCTCCACTGCTGGGCTCTGGCACGCTCCTGACTTGCAACCACAGGCAAAACTCTCCCTCTCTCCGCCAGCTCCTCTGCCCCTGAGCAGGGACCATAATCCCTGASCCAGGCAGGCAGGAGCAGCTCTGGACCTGGCATGGAGGGAGGGGGCTCTGCTGGCAGCCACCCCCTGGGAGCAGCGTTCCTCTCRATAAAAGTATATGAGCTTAGGAGGGTGGTTTGGGGAGGCCTCGTCACTTCAGATTAGGCTGTAGCAGGCGTATCCTGTTTTCTAGGAAAAAGAGGATTTTGTGGCCAGCTTTGTTAGAGAGGCATTGAAGATTTTTCTTTGTGTGCCTTGGCGTTTGAAGTTTGCAGGCGGGTAGCTGCAGACTTTCTAGATGTTCTGGTTACACGGATGACACTTATTTTTAACCTTATTTTTATTAGAGGTTTGTATCATGTGGGCCTGGCCAGCCCACAGGAAGGGCTAGAAACTTCTTGTAGGAGGGATAACATTTCCTATCTCTGTATAAACAGCAATTCCCCCCAGATGGGAAMAGCCAGCCCAGCTGTAAGGCAGGCTGGGGCTGTATTCCCACATGTGGCAGCAGGATGAGGCTCTCCCACAGCGGGAACAGACCTTGCTTCCAGCAGCCAGAGCCCTGCTGCTGACTGCCACAGCTCTCCCCGCACTCAGAAGAGGTGCCAGGGGTAGGAGACCTGCTCTGGGGAGCCGTGGTGAGGAGTGACTGGCCACTGGGAGCTGCGATGGAGCAGCACTGGTGGAGTTGGTGGAGAGGCAGGCGGCCAGCACAGGGCTGGGGTGAGGGCCCAGACCATGAAGATACTCATGGAAGAGGAGGAGACATCCTGTGCTCCGATGGGGTCTTGCAGTGAAGAAGGCTGGGCAGTGAAGATGATATTACTGTGGGCTGKGAAAGAGCCACTGAGCTGTGTGTGCCTGGACGTGGAAACCGCAAAACCTGAACGCTTTGGGAGCATCGCTGCTGACTTCGGTGAAAGGAGAAGTTCCTCCTGCTCCCAGCCCCAGCTTGCAACTGTCCAAGGTGATTTAATGGTGCTGGTGCTCCTCCCGACCTGCAAGAAGACTAAACAAGTGCTCAGCCGTTACTGGGACATGAGAATGTGGGAGCCACAGGATCCGGAGGTGACAAGGTTGCACTGCTGACAGCTGTAGGTAATGATGTGTATTTGCTCAATCGCTTTATTTGCAGAGGATCTCCAGGTATGCTGCTGTGACATATGSTGGAGTAGGTCCCAGCTCAAACCCTTGAGTGCAAAGCAAGAGATGGGAAGTGGTGGCAGCTGGAGGCAGAGCTCTGGGCAGGGAGTGGCATTGTTTTGCCTGGCCAGGGTGACAGAGGAGAATTTTAGGAAGAAATTTAAAGTGGGAGAACTGGCTGGACAGAGAGGAGCTGAGCGTGGTGCCATGCCCTTCAGAGAAGGCACTGGCTGAGCAGCTTTCAGTGAAGAGGAAGCTTCAGGGCTGGGATTGGGATATGTGGAAGAGCTGGCATGGTTGCTGGGAAGCATGTGAAAAAGGAGGAGTTGCTCCCGATGTGAACAGATGTTTCCAGTCCCGACTGTGTGACAGTGACAGGGAATGCCTCCTTCAGCCGGTCAGTCACTGGCAAACTCATTCACTCCGTGAATTTGAGGTGCCAGCCAGAGCACAGCCAGATGGGGGAATGGTTCTTGCTGGAATGACTTTTTGTAGAAGCTGGGCAGCCCAGCCTTGCTGCTGATGGGAATTCCTCCATCATGGGGAGGGATKTGTCCATGGCATGGTGTGCACAGAACATGCCACCCACACCCAGGGGTGGTGAGGGATCCCTCACTTCTCCCTCCCTGCTTGGAGCTGCTCAGAGCCTGGTGCAGGGTACCTGGAATGTCTGGTGGGAGCCTGGATATAAAATCCTCTGTAGATACCTCATTTGCCATGGAATGACATACAAATTCTCTTGATTGTTAAGAAATAATAAACTCTCAGCATCTCTCTGTGGTGTGTGTAGCAGACACAGGAAAAGGATCAGGCTTTGGCTTGTCTGCCAGAGCTGCTTTGTCTGGTMCCAGACCTTTCCCACAAGCAGTTTGCACAGCCTTGCTCTACTGAATTAAATGATAACTGAGGAATAGAGAGGGAAAGAGGGCGTTTCGGCTGGCGGGAGATTGATGGCAGGTCAGCGAGGCCAACAGCAGCAGGAAGGTTTCCGTGGAAMGGGAGAAGAACTGGTGGATGCTGGAAGGGCTGATTCCACCCTCACAGTGCCCTGGAAACTCTCATGAGCACWGTTCTCAAAAGCATTTCCCTTTCCTAAATCTGGAAAAACAAACGGGAGTAAAATCTATTTGCTTGTTTTAAACTATTCACCCGAGCTGCGAATTGGCTTTATGTGTATGTGGTGCATGTTTGTTTGAATGGTGATGTCCAGTATCCCCAGGGGTTATCCACAGAGGATTTCTCAGCTCCTCTTATTCACTTGCAGTGCATTTTTTGCATTTGCTGCCAAATTTTTCATGCTTGTGTTCTGCAGCGTTGGAGGAGTGGTTTGGGGGAACCTGCCGTACAGGCCTGGGGCTGGTCCTGCAGATTTCAGACACTTTGGCTAACTAAGTTTTCCTCCTGACCCTGAAAKCTCATTTCTATCACACCAGGATAATCATATTGCTTTTCTTACTGTTACACACTTTTCTGCTGAATCTAGAAGTAATAACAAGCGAGCAGGGAAGATTATACCCCACGTGGACTCCGGATGCTTTGTCTGGGGCAGGAGAGGCGCGGGCTGTGTCCCTGGCCCCGGCGCAGCCCTGCAAGTGTCTCGCCTCTGGACGGGGAAAGGGAAAGAACAAACAAGAACTGAGTGTAAAACTTGTGAGGCTTTGTCTGCTCACGCTGCTCTGCGCGGGGTTGTGCTGCACGGTGCTGTGCAGGGCATGGTGCCCCTGGAAACCGACGGGCAGAGTGCCGGCTYGGTGGGCGAAGGCTCTGCCCGGCCTCGGGGTGCCTCGGAGGTCTTTTCTGCCTCGGGGACTCAGCTGCGCGGGGCTCCGAGGGCCGAGCCCCGGAGAAATGATGAACTCYCGGGGATGCTGGGCAGTGGAGGCGACACCGGGACACCGGCGGGTACCAGGGCGTGGGGAGCCCGGGGAGGGTGTGAGACATCAGRGGAGTGTGGAGCCTCCGGAGGGGGATGCTGAGCCCCGCGGAGTTGATGCAGGGCACCGGGGAGGGTAYGCAGGGAGCCGAGGCAAGGGGGATGTGGGGCACTAGGCGGTGGTCCCGGGCGATGTGGGGCAGTGAATGGGACACACCGGGGCACCGGGGGTGCGGAGTCGCGCCGGGGGGGATGCGGCGCCCCGGGGSATGCGGGCCCCGAGGGAATGCTGGACCCCCGGGGCTGCGCCACCGATGGACTTGGGGGGCCTGGCGGGTGCGGTGGCGATGCGGGCCCCGCGCTCCCCTCCCCCGCCATGGGGCGGTGAAGGAGGAGGAGGAGGAGGAGGGGCTGCCCAGCACGGGCAGGGTTAAAGCGCCATGTAACCGGAGCGCGGSGCTGTCGGGGGCCGGCCGGGGCGCGAGTGGTGGCGAGCGGCAGCGCGGCCCCGCTGGACGGCGCGTCCCGCCGCGACACAGGTGAGCGCTGGACCGGGGGGACCGGAGGGTCCGAGCCGGAGCCGTGGCACATCCTCGTGAGCGGCTTTGTTGTCCCCGGCGGTGGCGGGGGACAATGAGGCGGGAGGGGAAGGCGGCACCGGGCGCACCGGAGCGCGGCGGCGGGAGCGCCCCGGCCGGTCTGGCGGTCCCGGTGCCCGGTAAGCGGGGACTCGCGGCTCCGCCCCGCGGGCTCGGCAGGGGACAGGGGGTGGCGGGCCCCGCCGCCACTTGTTGCGGGCGCTTGGCTCTGGGGCGTGTTGGGGGGATCGCTKCTCCCGCAGCCTCCGGCACGGTCCCATAAGTCCCCCTGGTCCCTCCCACTCCTCCGSTCCCGTCGCAACTTTCGGAGTTTCCCGCGGAGGCGCCGCGAGCCCCGGGGGCGCGTCCCGGGACTGTCACGGCGGGGCCGGTGCGGGACCCCCCGCCACCCGCGGGGCCGGGCCGGGGCTGAGCCGGAGCTGCGGCGGGGGGCTCCGCTTGCTCACACGGCGAGAGATGGCTGCGGGGCGGGGGGCGGTTCGGGGGGCCGGGGTTCCCCTGCCCGGCTCGGCCATCCCAGGCAGCGCGGCCTCCAGGCCGGGGGCACCGTGGGGAGCTGCCGGGGGTACCGGGACGCGGTGGCGCTGCTGCCCGGGCCGGACACCTTTGTGTTCGGTTCTCGGTCGGGGATCTGACAGCGCATCTTCCYTCTCTGTTGGCAGGAAAAGAGGCTCTCGGTGACGCCTTGGGTGCGAAGCTTCCCCGGGGCCGGGCCGGGCYGGAGGGACGAGGTGGCCGGAGCAGGTATTGACCGGAGGGCTCTGCTGGCATCTGCCTCTTGCCGACCCCGGAGGGAGCCTCTGGGGGAAGGAASATCATCGGAAAAGGAGGAATGAACTTCGCAGTGGCCCCAGCCTGGGGCACAAGTCCCGGGAAGCCAGGAGAGGGGAGCGGCGGGGGGACCCCTGGGGCGAGTGGTGGTCCTGCACCGACCTTCCTCAGGGCAAGGAAGGGGTGGCTGGAGCGTGCTGCCCTTAAGCAGAACTCACCTTTCCTGCCTCAGTTTCCTAATTTTTAGTGAACTGAGGAGGAGTGAGCCTGAGTGAGCCCCCCTGCCTCTGGACTGGGGGGGGCTGGAGGGCAGCGAGGTGTCATTGTCCCCTTTATGTCCTCTTGTGCAGGGAGAAGATGAAGTGGTGACAACTCCGGACAGAAGACCCATCACCGCTGAGCAGGACTCACCTGTGCACCAGAGCCCCCAGAGCCTCCAGCCCTTCCCACAGCCCTCATCTCCTGCCCACAGGCAGCCCCTGCCCCACGCCGGGCGGRATCCCACCGGGATGAACATGGTAAAGAGCCCGGAGCAGCTGGAGCAGCGGTTGGCAGGGATGGTGGCTGTCCGGGAGAAGTCTCCAGCCTGGTCTGCACTGGGAGAGGAGGGGCTGGTTTGTGTTTTGTTTCTTTTCTTTGCTTTGCTGCGAGGCAGTGGAGAGAGCCGGGGTGGGCGCCGAGGGCTGCGGGGGGAGCGGAGCGAGCGGAGCGGGGCAGGAGGAAACCGGGGGAAATGGAGGGAAGTGCTGGAGCGGGAGAGCGGAGAGGCCAGGCACAGGAAGCGGGCAGGGGGAGCCTGCCCTTCGCCCCCTGCCCTTCCCAACGAGCACATCTGCAAAATCGGCGCCTTTCTTACGGAACTGCCAACCCAGCAACTCCTTTCTTCCCAGGATTAGAGGGAAATGTTCGGTTTGGGGAGACTTAAAGGCCATTAGCGTGCACCACAGCCCAGAGCTAGATCGGCCATTAGGGTTCTTTATTTCTTTTTGTTATTCAAACAGGGCTTGGGCGATGGCTCCATCCCAGCCGTGGGTAAAGCTTCCCTCCAGCCTTTTGATATGCATGCCCCTGTCTGGAGGCAAAGTCCGCAACCTCCCCACCTCCTGGGGACATGCACCTGATAACAGGGCGGCCTGTTTTCTCCCAGCAAGGAAAACTGAAATCAGCCTGGGACAGGGTGGAGGAGCAGCCCTGGGAGCAGGGGTASGGGTCTAGTCCAGAGCATGGCCCCGCCAGGTGAGCCCTGCCCACCCTGCCCTCTCTGCCAGGTGAGCCCAGCCATCCTGTCCACTCTGCCTGCACTACCCGCTCCAGGGTGGCTGGCAAGCTTGGCCAGGCAGGGACCAGAATTCTCTCTAAGCAGTTAATACTGTGGCATGGTCTTTAACCAGTTTGGCAAATCTTAAAGAAGCTGGTATTGCAAAATGAGGGCGGGCTGTGGAGTCAGCGGGTTCATTGTCTCCTCGGTGGGATTTGGCTGCAGGGCACGTCCTGGTCACTAGGCAGTGCTGGGGCTGCCACTGGTGCCGGGCTCTTGGGGAGCTTTCGGCAGTGGAGCTGGAGCTCTGCATTATTTTCTTCCTCGTGGGTTCTTGTCTGTGGCACAGGACTGTGGAGCAGCCGGTGTGTTTGCAGGGCGCTGGGCAATGCAAACACTGCAGGGCTGGTCTCCCGTGAGACAGCACATGTGAGGGCAGTGCTCTGTTTCTTATTATTTTCGTAATGCCCTGAGTGCACATGTTGGTGTGTTTCTGTGAGGGGAGGCGAGGACAAAGAGCAGAGCCTTGCTCCCGAGCAGGAGCAGGGATGTGGCTCCTGCAGGGGACCCTGAGGCTCGGTGGGCAGCAGGATGGGCTCGTGTGCCTTCAGCACTTGTGTCTTCAGCAGAAGAGGAGATGGGAATTGCAATCCTGCTGCATAGGTGTGGGGTTTTGAAAATGCCAGAGTTTTAACGAGCAGTTTGGGCCGTGGTGTGCTGTTCCCTTTCCCGTCAAAGGATGGTGACGGGATGTCCTCGAGTGATCCTGGGCGGCGCAGCTGGAGAAGGGCACGGAGCAAGCAGGGAGCTGACGTGCCTGTGCTCACGGACCTGCAGAGCTCTGACCTGTGGGCYTCTGCTCTGCCAGGGGCAGTTCCTTCCAAAGGGATAACCCTCTTTTCCCACTTTATAGCTGGAGCAGAGACAACGTGGGAGCTCCCTGAGCACGTGGCTAAGCTGAGCTCAGCACATTGGGTTCTTGGTCAYGGCTGTGTCCCTGGGGACACCTTGTCACTGTGTCACCTTACCCCTCACCTCCCCAGTGCTGGGCTGGCAGGACACCCTCAGACATGAGGCAGTCCTGGGGCTGAGAAAGGAAAAGCCATTTTGAGGTGCAATTTTGACCATCCTGGACTCGGGTTCCTGATGAAGGACCCAATGCAGATGTTCTCAGAGGGTCCCTGTGGAGTTTTAGGGGTGCAAATRTTTGGGAAGGCTGGGAGATGGCCTTGCCTGCTCCTGTTCATTTTGAATTTTACCTGCCTCGTGCTGCTCCATCTGTGTCCCCTCTGGGTTAGAACACCCTCAAACAGGGAGAGCAGCGTGTCTCACATCTCCCTGTAGGGATTCCCAAGGGAGGTGCACTTTTTGGGTGAGTGTTGCTGTTTTTGGTGGCAGCATTGCTGCCAGTCRTGACTGCTGCTGCTCTGCAGCACTGTGGGTTGGGGAAGGGGAGCAGTCCAAGAGCTGCTGCCCCTGACCAGGCTGTGCTGCACCGTGGTGGATTGCTGCATCCCGGAGCATCYGGGGCYCTGTGGGACCGTCCTGGGCCGGGGRCAGGCGGCGAGTCTGGGCAGCTCCCAGGAATTGTTTGCCGGGTCTGGGAGCAGATGTGCTGCAGCAGTGCGATTTCTGCACACACAGCTGCGGGGGGTTATGCAGTGTCTGGTGCCGTTCCTCTCCTCCCTTTGTCGAGGAGGAGGCAGGACGTGCACCGGGGAGGGGGTCTCTGCCTGTGGAGGTGGGCGCCAGACACCTGYTTTCCTTTGTGTTCGAGTGTTACCAGGTTTTTAACTCTGCCCTGTGCATCCAAAACACCAAACTCCAACTGGTCTTTGTTTGCCAGAGGTGCTGACAGATGATTTCAAAGCAGAAATCTCAATTGTTAGGGCAGCGGTTGGAGGCGATGCAGAGCGAGAATGACACAGAAGGGGAGGTGGGCTGGAGCTGGGGTCTCTCTGGGGCTGAGGGGGGTGTCAGTGGGCTGGAGCTGGGGTCTCTCTGGGGCTGAGGGCTGAGTCAGTGGGCTGGGGCTGAGGGGGGTGTTGCTTTGGCTTCCTAACAGGGCTGTAGGTGGGCAACTACGACGAGCCCTGCGAGCTCCTCGTCTCTTGGTGGCGTGCTGCTAAAATGACTGTGCTGCTGAAGGGGCAAGTTGCAGCACAGACCCGTAGCCCAGCAATGAGGCAGCGGCGTTCATGGCGTCCGGGTGCCTCTGRGAGAGCCAGGAACTTCCACTTCAGAAATCAGGATCCAGGGAGGGCAGCAGGGAAAGCAAGCCCCAGCTCTGCAGGGGGCTTCCAGGGCAGGCGTGCTGCTGTGCCTGGACACAACCCCCTGCTCTGCCCCTTCCCCCTGGGGTGAGGGAGCTGAGGCCGGGAGCGGGGGGCAGGAGGAGTTTTCTCCCTCCGGGAGAGTTTAACGCAGGCTCCAGGACTTTGCCCCCCATGGCGGGCTGCCTGCCTGCCCTACTGCTGCAGGAACAGCCCACCCACCTTGGGCGTGCTGGGCAGCGGGAACACGGGGAGGCTGGTGCCCCAGGGGTGGGCTGTCCCCTGGGATGGGCTGTCTCTGGATTTTACAGGGTGGCCGGGAAGCKCAGCTCTCCTCCAGACAGGCTCTGTCAGAGTGAGCTGGGGCTGGGCAGTTCTGAGCCCCGGAGCGCTCTGCGGTGTACAGATGTTGTAGAAAAACCTGGTGTTCTCCAGGGACAAGGGGGGTGYGTTTGGGGCCTCTGTTAGGTGGAACTGATCGTTCTTTAAGGCTATCACGTTTGAGGGGAGGTTATGTGGTTATGTCCAAGTGCCCTTTATCTCCCAGGACCCTTAAGTGCATCTCCAGTCAGGCCCCTCTGCTGAGGGCATAAAGTTGAGGCTGGGTCGAAAAGCTCACTCTGCTTTGCCYTCCCTTGCACGGCTGAATTTCCTTTCCGCTCTGGCTTCTACAGGCAACCATGAAAAAGGACAAGAGCCACAGGCAGGATGCAKCAGACTGTAGGGCAAAGCTGATCCTCATCAACGGGGACAAGGCACCGGGCGTTGTCCTGGCGGCGAATGGGAAGCCCAGCACTCCAGGTGAGGGTCACCACACTGTGCCCAGGGTGCTCCCAGGATGGGTGAGGATGCACAGGGTTGGGATTTTACAGCCTCTGCCCCAGGGCCTTGCTGGGGGATTTAGCACTGTGGCTGCAGTCAGGGTCCCTCTGTGACTCTGCGGGGTCCCTGTGGTGTGGCTGCACATCCAGACCGTGGTGTGGGTGTGGAAGTGGGTGCCACGCTGGGATGCTGGCTCTGCCCCTTGATAATTTAACCCCTACAGAGTGAGGAAAGTAGGGGACCCCCCACCTGCCTGAGGGATACCACTGATCTGAGGGGCTTCATCACTGCTCTTGGGATGCTCTTGTTTGGCTTCCCAAATTCCTTCTCTTGGTTTYGAAGGTCCTGCTTGAAATGACCTGGTGACAAGCCCTGAATAGCTGATGTGGCTTCCTTGTGCCTCTGAGCTTTCAGGAACGAAGGAGTAGATAAGAATGTCCCCAYGCTTGCTGCTAATCCCTTCCAGTTTTGGGGACAGCTGGGTGATCTGGGGCTGTGGTGCCACAGTGGGGAGCCCCAGGGACACCACTCATCTCTGCTTCCAGCCACATTTCTCTGAGATGGGGTTTTGRTGTCTCTGAATCGTGGGGTGTTGCTGGGAGCAGAGGGAGGCTGGGGCATGCAGGGGCATGGCCAGGAGGGCTTGCAGAGCCTGAGGCTGCTCTGTCTTGTCCCTGCACAGGTCCCGGAGGCCTGGGACTGCCATCCCGGAAGAAGGAAAACAGCAATGGAGACCTCTCCAAGGAGGACCTGGCCTGGCCACTGGATCTGACGCCGGTGCAGAAGGTAAGTGAACACCYAGGGTGTTTTTTGGGGGCTGTCTGTGGGGGGCATCCTGTACCAGGATCCTCATCTTGCACTCAGTGCCAGAGGAACAGTCCAGTGGTATATTCAATACTTACCAGTGTAATATTTTAACTTAAATTCCTGCTTCTCAAGATACCACAGCAGTAGGAGAGGGTGGTGTGGGATGCAGTGATGCYCATTACATGTTGCAGCAGCCTAATAATTATTATGCTGATATTTTCTTTGAAAGTCTTGGCTGTATTGATGGACTGAAGCATCTCGTGCCTCCCACTCTGGGGGTGGGCTGGACCCCAGTTTCACCCACCCTCTTTTGTTGACTAGGTTGACAAACCTCCAGCGTCTGAAAGCATTTTTGTCTTCTGGCTTTATTGTTTTGAGTTAGAAATAAAACCCAAGGTTGGAGATCTGCCTGAGATGAGGCAGATTCCAAAAGAAAGAGCCATAAATCCRGCGGGTGAAAATTCAGCGTTCCTGCTAAGTTTGGTTTGGGGGCTTTTCACTGCAAAATCTCAATTAATTTTTGAACCTCTGTTGTGCTGGGTGCAGGAAACATGKCTGGGCTGGACTGTAACTCTGCCCACCAGGGAGAGCGCCCTGAGTGCTGCTGCAGGGCTGGCTGTGGGAAGGGGCACACATGGCAGTCTAAAAGCATCCAGGGTGTGTGTGTGGGTGGGTCCATGCCTGGGATGGGTGCTCTGCTGGGGTCAGTGGTTCTCCTGACATCCCAKCCCTCCCAGCTGTGGCTCCTGCTCTCTCTCTCATGCTGGGTGCAGTGGGGCTCCTGAACCCTGCAGAGAGCCTGTGGAGCAGAAAGCTGCCCAAAGAGGCTCAGCCCATGGTGCCTCTGGCACCCTCATGGCTCCTCACCTTCCTCAGGTCACTGCCCCTGGTGCTCAGCCCCATGAGGCACAGACTGTCCRTGTCCCTGCGTGGGGAGGGCACCCATGCCATGGCACCCCTCTGTTGTGGTGGCAGCTGCAGCCCCRGGGCAGCGCTGGGTGGGAGAGCAGCCTCAGGCAGAAGCCCACGGTGTCCATGTCATGTTCCAGGCAGGGCGGACCCGGCACGAGATGAGGATCAAGGAACCACCACGGAGTGTGGAGACCCTCAGGGAGCTGCCCACTCCCGTGCGGGTGAGTGTCGGGCAGTGCCAGAGCTTCCCTGGGGCTCCAGAGACCTGCACTGCAGCTGTGCCCTGTTCAGGCATCTTCAGACGCGGTACAGCCTCCCTGTGCCTCAGTTTCCCCATGAAGGGAACATGTGTTTGCTGTTCCTGCTATGAACTGGGTGCGTTGAACACCCTGGGTGGATTTGGGATGGGGAAATGGCAGAGGGCAGTGGTGCACCCTTTGCTCTGGGTCTGGTGAGTCAAAGCAGAGCAGCTCTCCTGCAGGCACCCCCATTAAGGGCTCTCTCCTCCCTCATTTCCTGGCTCCCTCTCTCTGATCCTGCTTGGGGGGTGGGGGATGATGCAGGCAGGGCTGGGGGGTGATGCAGGGCTGGGGGATGATGCAGGGCTGGGGGGTGATGTGGGGCTGGGAGCTGATGCAGTGCAGGTCTCTGCTCCCCCTTCCCCTCTCCCTGCTGCACTCACGCTCCTCTCCACTCCTGCAGAGCTCCAGGCGTCGCTCAGCCGTGTCCACACCAGTGACCATCGACCTTACGGAGGAGGACGACTCCCAGGACTCGTCCCGGAGCAGCAGCACGCTCTCGGGCAGCAGCTCCCAGGAGGGGCAGAATGGCTCTGCTGAGCTGGGGGCTGAAGAGGCAGAGAGCAGAGACATGGGCATGGCGCTGGAATATCAGGTACAGAGGAGCTGAACTCTGCTTCTGCTCCTGGGGTCCTTCAAGCATGAACCTCTGGCTTGTCCCAGAACAACCTGGAAACCTCAGTGCAGTTCCTGCTGCCCACCCTCTGTGGTGCCTGGGCTGTCTCCATCCCACMAGATTTGGGGTGCTTTGGGGACCAGCCCTGCCAAGCTGCCACTGGTGGCACGCGTGGGCCCCCCCAGACACGCATGCGTGTGCTGTGTGCCGTGCCCTGCTGAGACAGGCACTTGCATGTGCAGAAAACATTTCTGTCGGGGATGCTGGAGAGAAACGAAGCTGCTGGGGCTGCAGAGCGGGATTTGGCGCCTGCAGGCTGCAGGGCAGGGCCCCAGACTTTCAGGAATTGGGCAATTGGATCTTGCTGCATAATTAAGTACCTAATTGCAGAACAAAGCTGGGAAGGAGGGCTCTGCAGGCAGAGGTGACTTTTCTCTGTGTGAGGTGYCTTGCTGTGCACAGCACCCAGCGGTGGCCTGCGTCGGGTCGCACCAAAATTCTTGGYTCTTCTTTTTCTTCTGTTTTTGCTCTGCCCCATTTCCTGCTCTCTTCGGTGGGAACAAGAGGAGGGTGAGTGGGAGTCCTCACTCCACAGAGGCTGAGCTGTGAGCCCTGTGAAGGGGCTGCCCTGTGCTAGGGAGGATTCTCGTCTGCTCAGGGCACCCAGGGAGCAGCCTTGGGGCACCCAGGGAGCAGCCTTGGTGCGAGAGACCCTGGGAGGGCAGGCAGGAGTGGACACGCACGGGGCTGGGCGCCAGGAGGGCTGTGCAGGATGGAGCACGCACCACACCGTGCGCCAGGCACGGGCTCAGCGTGGGGCTGGCACACACAGCCTCCCCTCCGAGCGTCTGCATGGATCAGGGCTGGCATCCAGCATTGCTGGGGAGGGCTTGGCCCCGTGTTTGAGGGATGGTGTGCAGCTCTTGTAGATCACTGCACAGAGATCCACAGGTGTGACACACGTGGTGACACACCGAGTCTGCCCCCTCTGCTCCAGGGCTCTCTTGTGCAACTGCCCAGGTGAAATGGGGAGTTTGTGCTTTTGCTTGATCTGTTTTCTTTTGCTTTCAGGATGGGAAGGATTTTGGAATTGGGGAGCTTGTCTGGGGGAAGATCAAAGGATTTTCCTGGTGGCCTGCGATCGTWGTCTCCCACAAAGCCACGGCCAAGCGCCAGGCGGTCTCGGGCATGCGTTGGGTGCAGTGGTTTGGAGATGGGAAGTTCTCTGAGGTAAGCCTGCTGCCTGTGCCCAGCCCCAAATCCCYTCCCCTGCACGCTTCTGTCTCACTCCTGGGGTTGTCTGTGGGGTGTGTGAGCTCCTGCAGCGTCCCCAACCTCCCCTCCTGGTGTTCAGCATAGCCAGGCCCCGGCCAGGTTCTCATGGCTCTGGGGTCTGTGACTGATTGCTGTAGGTTCATGACAGCATCCMGAAATGGGGACATCTGCCTGGCCACTTCACAGGGGTTTGTCCATGCCCCAGACTGCCCCCATCACCACCTGCCTGGTGAGGGATGTCCCCTCAGAGCYCCATCACCCTCACAGAATCAGAGTATCCTGAGTTAGAAGGGACCCATGGGGATAACCGAGTCACATTCCATCCCTGCGCAGGAAAACCCCGAAATCTCACCATGTGCCCAAGAGTGTTGTCCAAACACTCCTCATCTCTGGCAGGCTGATGCCACAGCCACTTTCCTGGGAAGCCTGTTCCATTGCCTGACCGTGAGCCTTTCCCCACCATCCAACCAGGATATCCCAGCCCTCCCATGCTGCAGGCAGGAGGGAGGAAGGGCCGTGCTGGTGTCACCCCAGCAGTGCCGGCAGAGGGTGCAACCCASCCGTCCTTGTCACACTGCTGCTCCTGGCAGGGCTGCCACTGGGCTTCCTCCTGTGGCCACAGTGCTGGGGCCAGGGACCACAGTTCCGGGGGATATGGCCGAGCAGGGTATTCCCATCTCATCTTAAGGCTCTCTTCTTTCCCAGGTTTCTGCAGACAAACTGGTGGGACTGATGGCCTTTAGGCAGCATTTCAATTCCTCCACGTTCAACAAGCTGGTCTCCTACCGTCGTGCCATTTACCACGCCCTGGAGGTAACCACCAGGGGTGGGTGGATGGGTGAGGTGCCAGCTGAACCAGATGGGCTTGGTGGCCAGGGGGATGTGGTGCAGGAAACCCCTTCTTTCTCAGCTGAGATAATTTTTGAGTTCAGGTGTGGGGCCAAACTCTGTTTAATCCTGAGGGTTTAGGGGCAAACGCTGCTGCTCGAGGTTTTCACTGCTCCTGAACCCCAGGCCAGGCTCCTTGCCAGGGCAGTGCCAGGTTGGCTAGAGATGTCCTGGGTCAGTGCCAGGTGCCTTTTGGGGTGGGGGCTGGTACTGAGCACCCATGAATCCAATCCCCATCCAAGGGATGCATCACWTGTTGGCATATGGGGCTGCAGACCCACAGGCACCTCTTGTGCCTTTTCTTGCTGTTGCTTGCCAGGAAGCAGAATCTGGACAAGAGCTGGGGCTGGGCTGTCCCTGCTCCTGACTCCATTGCGGGTGGTGGAGGACAGGTGGGGTCCTTGCAGGAATGGAGGCACCAGAGCGGGAATCTGTCAGCTGCTGCTGTGCTGGGGCAGCCAAGCCCTGCACATGTGGGTGTGTTGGGTGGGGAGGGGATCTGGGGCTGTGGCCCTGGCAGGCTGTGGCTGCTCCCCAGACAGAGACCACCCTGCCACCCTGTCCCCTGCTGTCCATCCTCACCAGGTTGCCCGGAGCCGGTCAGGGAAGACGTTTACAACTGGTCCCAGGGAGTCGCTGGAGGAGCAGCTGAAGCCCATGATYGACTGGGCAATCACTGGCTTCAAACCCCTGGGGCTCAAGGGACTGCGGCCCCCCAAAGGCTCAGGTGAGGTGGGGGCATCGGCTGGGTGGGGGCTGGTGGGGGCAGTGGCCACTGTGGGCTGGCCCAGGCTGAGCCTGCTCATYCTGTGCCACGGCCATGCCAGTCCAGTCCCAAGGTGGTCCCCRGGTTCCTCACTGGGTCCACCACAGCAACATTGCAAAAAGTTGCAGCAAAGCACCCTCCAACCCCATTGAAATCAGACCTGCCTGAGCCTTGTGCCATGTTGGGGGAGCTGGGTAGCCAGAAAGGCTTCTGACCTGGCAGGAGATGTCCCTGTGTGTCCTGGAATCTTGTCCTTAGGGCACTGCCTTTTCCTTGCAGAGAATGGGGTGCTGAGGAACGGGACAGAGGAGGTGGTGTCTCTKGAACAGTGTCCCCCCACCAAGAGGCTGAAGACCTACCCCTGCAACAGCAGCAAGGAGCAGCGTGTGGAAGAGGACCAGACCCGAGGTAACCAGCAGAGAGCTGGGGAGTGGCTTGGCCTGAGCTGTGCACCCTGAGAGCACTGGGAGACCATTCTGGGATGAGGCTTGGCTCTTCCCAGGGACCGTGAGCTTGGTGCCTGAAGGCAAAAGCTTTTGTGGTTCTGTAGTGCTCACTTGTGCCTTAAAAGACACCAGCAAACACAATACCAGACATGGGGYTRGSCCCCACTSRTGGCTCAGCTTGRACCATGCYATGTGCTCCTACACTGAGCTCTTAYTATCTCCATCARTGAAAGGATGTGGGTTTTGCTCCAAAATCTCTCAGCAAAGCTGGAGCAGTTCTAATGCAGGAAATAAAGCACCTCTAAGCAGAGTGCATTTAGAGTTTGTTACATAAAGAATGATAAATATGATAAATATTTTTTTCTATGCTTTTTCTTTTCTATTTTATAAAGAGCAAATGGTTTCCGAAGTTACAAACAACAGCGGGAAGCTGGAAGGTAATTGCTGGCCCTGTCTCTCTTGGGAAGAGGTTTGGGGTGGGGGGGATGCTGGCTGGCAAGGGTCATAGATCCCTTTTCAACTGCACCATGTAGGAAGGAGGAAGCTGCAGTGGCTGCAGGGTGCTGAGGGGACAGGGTGCTCTTGGATCCCCCACAGGCAGCCACAGCCTCATCTGGACGTGGTTCCAAGAGCAGGCCCCATTTGGATGCAGTTCTGAGGGCAGGCTTTATCCAGACACAGTTCCCAGGRGAGGCTGCAGMCTCTGTGGGTTGTGCTGGGGTGTAYGGGGTCCCTGCCCTGGGTGARYRCAGCTCTCTCTGTCCCACAGACAGCTGCTTGTCCTGCGGGAGGAGGAACCCGGCCACCTTCCACCCTCTGTTCAAGGGGGGCCTCTGCCAGACATGCAGGGTAAGTGCTGCCATGCTGGGGCTGAGCAGGGGCCTGGGAATGGGGGATGGGGCTGGGGTCCAGCCAGTGCTGCTGGGACAGGGGGTGGCTGTCTCTACGGGAGACTGTCCCTCGGCATGTTCTCACTCCCTGAGACACCAAAGATGTGCATCTCTGAGCTCTGTGTGTACTGGGAACAGCCCAAAACTGTGTTTCCCACCCACTGAGCATGGCTCCTGATCCTCTGTCCTCTTCCTCGTGGATGTCCTTTTGCTAGGATAGATTCCTGGAGTACTTCTACATGTATGACGAAGACGGGTACCAGTCCTACTGCACCGTCTGCTGTGCGGGCAAGGAGTTGCTGCTGTGCAGCAATGCCAGCTGCTGCAGGTGAGYCCTGTGTTTCTGCTCCTGGGGCTGAGGCCCTGGCATCATTCCCAGGGTGCTGCAGGAAGCAGGATCCTCCATGAGTCTGGGCAGGGGCTGTGGTTCCCCCCAGCTGGCTGCCATGCAGCATGTCCCAGCCACTCTGTCCCTGCTGAGCCAGGCATCACTGGAATAAGCCCTGTGGAGGTTGGCAGGACGTTTACCCATGCCTTGGTCACCAGCTTATGTTAGCAGCCCTAAAAAGCAGGGTGCTGCCTGTAAAAATGCCCAGTTACGTGGTGGGGGCTCTGCATGGGGGRGGAGACTGCAGGAGAAGCTGGAGTGACCCAGAGGGGTTGCTGGAGTGATAAGCACGAACTGTTGTGGTTTGGGCAGGTGCTTCTGTGTGGAGTGTCTGGATGTGCTGGTGGGGCGAGGGACGTCGGCCAGAGTCAAACAGCAGGAGCCCTGGAACTGCTACATGTGCCAGTCACAGCAGAGCCACGGCGCGCTGCAGCGCCGGCAGGACTGGAACAGCCGCCTGCAGGACTTCTTCGCCAGTGACAAGGGACAGGAATTCGTAAGGGCTGTGGGCAGGTGGCCCAGTGTGCTGGGATGTGGGGGGAGAGGGTCACTGAGGGCAGGGAAAGTGGCTTAGAATCCCTCTTTCCTCTGCCTTGGTCTTGTTCATCGACGGTCTCTGAGGGTGCTGGACTCCTGGCCCTGCAGATGCTCTCCTGAAGTGCAGCATTGCCAGGGCTGAGGCTTCATGGCTGTCTCCATTGCAGGCTGCACCCAAAATCTACCCCACAGTTCCTCCAGCGAAGAGGAGACCAATTCGAGTGCTCTCRTTGTTCGATGGGGTGACAACAGGTRAGGCAGGAGGGCAGCACTGCCTGGCAGCTCTTGGCACTGGGCAGTGGGGATGAATCGTTCCATGGCCTCAAACCTGTCTGTAAAAGCTTGGTGGGGAGGAGGGGGGTGAAGTGAAAGCAGCAATATCCCCATCAGAACGGGGATTAGGGCAGGGTCTCTCTTTCCTGCTGGACAGAGCTGTGGAGGAGGGGAGGGATGGAGCAGAGGGCATGGGAGTTTTGCTTACAGAGGTGTTCTGCTGTGCCCAGTGTGATCTTGGGTGGCTGGTTCCCCTGARAAGCCAGAGCAGTGGGGACACCAGTAACCTGTACTCTGAAATGCCTGAGGACAACTGGTTCACTCAGCTCTGGCTTTCTGGTGTCTGGAAGCAAACCTGCCAGAATGGATCAAAAGAAAATTTTGCTCACCCTAAAATGCTGTTTGACTACACCCACCTAGGACATCCAGGAGCAGCCACATCCAACGGTGCTGATGAAGGAGACTTGGAGGCTAAAGAGAGCAGTGCCACCTCAGACCTCTGTCCGTTGGCAGGGTACACRGTGCTGAAGGATTTGGGCATCCAAGTGGAGAAGTACATTGCCTCAGAGATCTGYGAGAGCCCCATCGCAGCGGGCAGCGTGCGGCCCGAGGGCAACATCACCTATGTTCGTGATGTCAGGAACATAACCAAGAGACATGTGAGCTCTGCTTCTCTGGGGGCCTGAGGGATGTGGCACCGTGGGGACATGGGTCCCACCCCTCCAGCTCTGGGACAGATTTATCCCTTGCCCCATCTGGGAAGAGGATCAGGATGCCACCTGGATGCCGCCCGCTTCCATGGCATCTCCTGATGGTCGGGTTTGTCTGTCCTCTGTAGATTGAGGAGTGGGGTCCTTTTGACCTGGTGATCGGTGGAAGCCCCTGTGACGACCTCTCTGTTGTCAATCCCACCAGGAAGGCACTGTTTGGTAAGGCTGCTTTGCCCTGCTCTGGGCTGTGTGTCCTGGGGTGTTCCCGGGGCATGTAGCCACCTGACAGCCCAGGGAAGTGGTTCAGCCCCAGKCTGTGTGGGTGATGGGCTATCTCTGTACCCATCTTAGTGGGGACGGCAGCCAGGCCCCCCACCCCACACCTCCTGTGCCCCAGCTGGTCCCAACCTGCTGCTCGGCTTTTTCCATGCAGAAGGAACTGGGAGGCTGTTCTTCGAGTTCTACCACCTGCTCAACTACGCCCGTCCCAAGGCGGGCGAGGAGCGGCCCTTCTTCTGGATGTTTGAGAATGTGGTGGCCATGAGGATCAACGACAAGAGGGACATTTCCCGGTTTCTGGAGGTAGGGATTGCTGACAGCTGTGGGAAAGGCGTTGGAGCAGGTGACACTTGCTGGGCTGTGCAGGGTGTGAGGGTCTGGCTATGGTTTCCTGTGGCCCTGGTGCTGGAAAACCCCCTGCCTGGTGCACATGCCAAGGAATCAAGTTTAGTCTTGGCTCTGGATCCTCCCCTCTGGCTTTCATCAGGTCAAACCCRAGCACTAGTCCTCTGGGGGAGGGGTTTTGCCAGCCTTGCAAAATGCATCTGTTCCCAGCAATGTCTGTTATTTCTAGGGAGGGGGTGTCAGGGACTGGGAAGGGATTTTAACTCTGTGGTGGCCAGGATGAGTTGTGGGTCATCAGGGACCACTGGTGTAAAATCACCACTGAARRCTGCCAGTCCTGATCCTGGCCCAGRGGAACCAGCACTGAGCACCTTGTGRTGGTTGTTAGMTGTTGGCTGTGGCCATGAYCTGGGAGCCCATGTGGCCAYGCAGGCCRTGCTCTGGTGTGAAACAGGGTTTGTGAGGGCTACATCATATTGAGGATTCACTGAAGGCTATAAGTCYCTGCAGTGCTGTGGGAGGGCTGTCCAAGCAGGAAAGAACCGAGCCAACATTTCCTCTAACTCCTATCTTGCCTCTGTTTGGCCCTCAGTGTAATCCAGTTATGGTCAACGCAATCAAGATATCAGCTGCCCACCGAGCTCGTTACTTCTGGGGCAACCTCCCAGGGATGGACAGGTAAACAATCAGTCTGCTGTCCTCTTGGATCTCTCACTGTAGTTTTGGTTTGTTTTGTAGTGCTCGTGTGGGTTATTTTGTCWCCCTGGCTCCAAGCCCAGCTCCAGGCAGTGTGGAGCCACAGCTTCCGCACGGGGCAGCTTCCCTGCGTTCATGCACACATGATAATTAATGCACTTACTAATGAGCAGGGATGAGACTGCAGGGAACAAGTGTAGCAGCATCCCCTGTCCCTGAAGTTTGTGGAGGGATGAGTGATGGGGCTTGCTCAGGATGGTGTGTGGTGGGTCTGGCTGGGGTGCACACATGGACGGGCTTTGGGGTAAGGCCMAGGCTGATGTGGGGTGCCCTATGGCAGCCCCGTGCCCTGCTCAGTGCCATGGTTGTGGGTTTCTGGAGTGGAACTGAGTGGCCACTGTGGCTGTGGTGCTGTGGGGGAAGCTCACACTACAGCCAGCAGCTGCTGTGGCAAGGCAGGAGTGCTCCCTGCTCCAAACTTCACACCCYGAATTCATGGCAAAACACAACAGAAGGATTGGGAGTAGATAAATCCAATTACAAAAGCCTGAAGTTTTTGCACAGTGGATGCTTYTGGCCACTAAACCCAAGACTGGGGTTAAATAGTTTTGCTTGTTTGTATTTAAATTGCCAGTATTTGTTGGAATTAACACCCAGCTAAAGGCATTTGAAAGTAAAATAACAATTCCAAGCCTTTGTCATGTGAAATGGCTCTTAGACTTTCATCTGATTGTGAGGGAAGTGCTCAGCCCATGACTCAGAGCTACCCAGAACTACTCAGTCCTATCTCCATGGAGTAGCCTGGGGCAATGCTTGCAGAGGGATCTTCCAGGAGCCTTGCCAGAAAAAGCCACGAGGTGGGGGGCACTGGGGGTGGTGGGCAGGCACATCCGGGGTGGTGATGATGCTGAGGCTCAGTGGGGCTCTGTTGTGCTGGAGAGCTGAATCCCCTTCCATAGGAGCCTCTGGATGCTCACTGTCTTTGGGTGGCCTGGGAGCGGTGCTGCCCAGGAAACAGGGCTCCCGCTGCCTCATTCACCCTCTCCTCCCTCTGCCCCACACAGGATCTTTGGCTTCCCCCTCTCCTACTCTGATGTCTCCAACATCAGCCGTGGGACTCGCCAGAAGCTGCTGGGGGGATCATGGAGTGCCCCTGTCATCCGGCACCTCTTCTCCCCGCTCAAGGATTACTTTGCCTGTGAATAGCAAGAGGAGCGTCCCTCGTCTCTCCGGTAAAGATGCACAGCGCCGCTGCTGTGGCGGGAGAGGGACGGGCACGGCCACCGGACTGTCACAGCCCCGTCCCTCCCCGGCCACGTGCCGCGGGACGGCGGCCCGCGCCGGGAGAGCCGAGCAATGTCTGTAACCAAAGAACCTGGCAGGGTAACTTCTTTAAAGGGACTAACAGTGATACGTAGGAAATGATGGACAAAGCTTTAATTACCCAGCACACGAAGCTCTATGCATCACTGATGAGATGGGGAGTCTCCTCCACAGCATTAATTATTCYGGTTTAGCCTGGAGCTGGGAAGTCACCACTTGCTGAGCAGCCAGTGTGTGGGCAGCTGCTGGGGAGCTGCAGGCAAACCTGAACTACAGTGAATTAATGCTTTTCCTAAACAAACAAAACCTCTTGAAGCAACTGCCAAAAACCCCCAAACCGTAGCAGCAGGTGTAAGGGACCCTGCTCAGGTTACACAGTGAACACAGGATCATACAAACCAAATCTTGTTTTTATTTTTTTTTATAAAACTTAATTTTGTTTTAATGTCTGTTGCTGCTTTAAGGCATTACATAAGAATGTGGAGATTCCTAGACCTGAATGTAGCTGAAACTGAACTGTGAGGTGATAGAATTACTTTTCTAGCTAGAACTAAAGAAATATTGTTTTATATGTTTGGTTGTAGTTTACAAATATTCACTACTTGCTTTTTAAAGCATCTAAAACGTTTCCTTATGTTTTAAAATCCTGCTGAGTGGTTTGAAAGCTTACACAGTAACTGAAGCAGGGAGGGTTCGGGCTCCAGTGTCTGTAAAGGAAAATGTTTTTGGAGCATYCATTTCCCAAATGAATGTGGTATGTCAGCAGGAAGGACAGCATGGTGGTCAATGGCACCCTCAAATCTGAGCCTCCCAAATGTCATTAGGATTTGAGCAGTGGTGGCAGGATGTTCTTTCCAGGGATAATCGCTCCTAATGCCCATGAGGTGCAGGGACCAGGAGTTCAGAACTGCTCCTGCCTGTGCCTGTCCCATCCTGAGCACCCGGGGAATGGGACAGTGAGGCAGGAAAGCACTGCCACTGCTGGGGGATTTTGGGGGTCTGCAGGCAGGGGCTGTACCTCTCCTCCCTGRCATCCCTGTGCACAGAGCTGGGATGCTGCTGGTGCTTGTGTGCCCAGCTCGGCCTGGCAGTGCCCTGGGGGCTCCTGGGGCTGTACCTGAAACCGGGAATTCCTGTGACTGCCACTGTGCTCACTTTTGATTGCCCTCCYCCCCAGCTTTGCCAGAGTGATTATCCCACTGTCCATGAAGTCCTGGGCACACTGAGCCTGTGGCCACTGGGAAGATGTGGGTGCCTGTGTCCACTTCCTCCAGGTTTTCTGTAGCCACTGGGCTTCTGTCCCAGCAGGCAACTCTGGGGATTCTGAATTCCAATGCACATTTCAATGCACTGAAACAACTCCTTCCTTGGTCCCTGTGTCCTCCCCTACCTCTGCTGATCACCTGTCACCCGGCTCTGGAAGAGCCCTTGGGCRCCTTTTCAAAATTATTTGAGCTTAAACCATGGGCTACCCCTCCACCCAATTAATGCCAGGCTGCCTTGCTGTCTTGCGAGGTGCTGTACAGTATCACTGGGAAGAGCTTCTCTCCCAGCTCCTTCTACCTCTCTGGCACCCCAGTCCCAGTGCTGGAGGACAGCAGCTTCCCATTTTCCACCCTTGTGTGCTGTTTTCTATCCCAGCTCCAAGGACCATCTTCTCTTGGTCTCCAATCCCATCCCAGGGAATGGACAGCAAGAGAAGCCCAGGTAGTTCAAAGCTTTTTTTTTCCTGTTTTGACCTGGAGGCTACTCTTTAGAGAGAACTCCTTGTGSGTTCATTCTTGGTGACTTGTTAAAGCCATATGTCTTAGTTAAGAAAATACTGGAGAAAGCCAGGCAGGCTTGTCCACATCACTGCTCCAATGCTTGACAAGTGCTCGGGGACATGAAGTGCCCTCTTGTCACCAGCCCTTTGACTGGAGAGATGGCAGAGTGGGTTCTGTGTGTGCTGGAGAAAGCCTTGGCATTGCCAGCACTGCACCAGCTGGTTTTGGACCCCTTGCCAATCTGTGATCCTTGTGTCTAGCTGGACCCCAGCCACAACACTAATTCCTCATCCCAGTTCCTTGCAATCCCTGTTTGGAGCCCAGCACGGGGCCTGAGGGTGAACAACCATCCAGTGCAGGGGCTCAGGGTGACAGCTGTCCCCTGGTCAGGTGGCTTTGATTTTTCCAAACTGGGCGAACAYGTGCCCTCCACTCCATGGCATCCCTGATCTTATACTCCAGATCTCACATCCTTTCCTATCTGATCAAAAGGAAAACAAATGGATGAGGGAAAAAAAGGACTTGGAGAAAGTAAACAAAGATAAAAGAGGAATGAGAATTGTCTTGGCATTAAGCTCACTTGATGAGAATTGTAGTAGACAAGTCTTCCTTGAAATGTTTTTCCCTGTAAGAGCTGCCTTTTATTATGAGTTTATAAATTGTTAAGGGAGGGGGTTCTCAGAAATTCCTTTTAAATACTTCTTAAAGGTTTCTACTCTCCCTGGTGCTATTTTTTTTAGGTTAAGGATTTTTAATGTTGAACATATTGCGGGTTTTTATACAATCTTTAAAAAATAAGAGAAATGTATCATTTTTAACACATTTCATATTTTTTGTATCTGGAGTGTGAAAATTCACAACTGTACCTTGTCCACATGATTTCACTGGTTTCCATGTGGGAAAAAAATATCGATGGTTTACCATTTATGATGTCTGATTAAAAATGAGTATTTCTGTATGGCTGGACAGTTTTATTGGGTCAATAAACTGAATTCACAGTGGGAGGAGGGGCATAGCCAGGAACCTGAGCTGCCCCTTCTCTGCTGCTGCTGAGGTGACACCAGTGACACCAAGGTGGCTGGTGTTGGTGTGCCAGGAGGGCTGGAGCCGTGCTGGGGGTTCGGGGTCAGGCTATGCCCGGGGGTTAAGGAACTCTGTGCCGTGCTGCGGATTCAGGGTCACGCTGTGCCAGCCTTCAGAGCCGGGTTGTGCCGGGGTTCAGAGCCGGGCTGTGCCGGGGTTCAGAGCCGGGCTGTGCAGGGTTCGGGGCCGGGCTGTGCCGGGTTCAGAGCCGGGCTGTGCCGGGGGTTCGGGGCCGGGCTGTGCCGGGGGTTCGGGGCCGGGCTGTGCCGGGTGTCGGGGCCGGTTTGTGCCGGGTCTCAAGGCCGGGCTGTGCCGGGGTTCGGGGTCGGGCTGTGCCGGGGTTCGGGGCCGGGCTGTGCCGGGTGTCGGGGCCGGGCTGTGCCGGGGTTCGGGGCCGGGCTGTACCGGGTGTCGGGGCCGGGCTGTGCCGGGGATCAGGGCCGGGCTGTGCCGGGGTTCGAGGGCGGTCTGTGCCGGGTTCGGGGCCGGGATGTGCCGGGGTTCGGGGCCGCTCTGTGCCGGGTGTCGGGCCGGTCTGTGCCGGGGTTCGGGGCCGGGTTGTGCCGGGTGTCGGGGCCGGGCTGTACCGGGTGTCGGGGCCGGGCTGTACCGGGTGTCGGGGCCGGGCTGTACCGGGTTCGGGGCTGCTCTGTGCCGGGGATCAGGGCCGGGTTGTGCCGGGGATCAGGGCCGGGCTGTACCGGGTCTCAAGGCCGGGCCGTCCCGTTGGCGGCTGTCGGAGCAGCCCCGTCGCACCCTCGGGCCCGATCCCGGCGCGATCCTGTGGGCACGCGGGACCCCCGGTGTGGGCGGGGCCAGCGGATCGGCCAATGGCAGGCGAGCCCTCGGGCGGAGTGGGCGTGGCATCTCCATAGCAACGCGGCGGGTCGCCCCGCCCCCTAGCGACACCTCCCCTCACGGTGCCGGCGCGCGGCGCTCCCCGCGCGTGCCGTGACGTGCGCGTGACGCAGGCGCGCAGCGAGCGCGTGACGCGGTCCCGGTCAGGGCGGGCGGGGCCGGTTTGAACGTGGGGCCGACGGGGCGAGCGCGGCGCAGGTACCGGGCCGGGGCCGCGGCGGGGCCGCCGGGCGGGAGCGGGGAGGGCCCGGGGCTCAGAGAGCTGCCCGGCGGGGCACCGCCGCCGTGAGGGGACCGGCGCGAGGCCTGCAGGGTCGGGCCGCGCCCCTCGGCGGGCGGGGGTGCGGCGGAGACCGGGRATGGCGGGGTGGAGGGTCCGGCGGGGCGTTGTGAGGAGCAGGAGTAGGGGGAGCGCGGGCTGTGCCCCGCCCGCGGCGCGGGAGGCCCTGCCCGGCGGCAGCTGCACCGGCGGCTCTGCTTTGTGCTGGCGGGGCTGGGCGGGGACCGGCCGCTCGGTATTGATCCCCGGGGAGATACCGTGGCCGGGCAGGAAGTGCTTCAGCCGTTCCCGGTGGCGCGGGGGAGAGGGATGAGTAACTTGCCGCAGCCGTGATTCCTTTCAGCGGTTCCCACGTGAACGCCTCGGTGATAATTTTTCGTCAAAAATCCCGGAGCCGAGCCCTTTGCAGTGGTGGTGCGGGAGGGTCCTCCCAGCTGTTGGCAGCCCGCAGTTCCATCGCGATTCGCTCGCTGATGGGTCGGGAAGGCTCAAAAGGAAGCGGCTCCACCACAGCCCAGCATCTGTGGCGCTCATACCTCTGATTCCATCTTTCAGAAAATGGCAGTGAATGTGTATTCTACTTCAGTGACCAGCGATAACTTGAGCCGACATGACATGCTGGCGTGGATCAATGAGTCTCTGCAGCTGACGCTGACCAAGATTGAACAGCTGTGCTCAGGTAAGGGGGTTCACCCCGAGGGCAGTTCCGAGTGGGATGTGCATCCTGGTTCTGTAGAGATGCAGCTKCACCCTCGGTGCTGCCCTGCTGTAGCCATGCTCCCGGCTTGGCTCCTGGTGTGAACAGATTCGTGGTCAGTGTTATGATCCAGTACTGAGTTATTATGGTCAGAGTGTTATTGAAGTGGTTCTTTATAATGTCAGTGTAATGAAAAGGCACGTTCTCGTGACTCACTACAGCATAGATGCTATAAGGAATGGGGGTTARTGTGAAAGAAAGACTGAGGAAGAAGGTGTTTTCCCATGAGGAATTAAGCATTTAGYCTGCATGGATAGAGTAAGTGTTACACATGTAACTAGTAAAACCAATTGTGATTTGTTTTGGAAGAGTACTGGAGTGTGAGGAAGGCACAGTAGTGACTCGTGGGGTCATCTGTGAGACTTTACACCTCCTCCTGGTGCATGTCTAGCCTGTGTCAGCCCAACTTACCTGGGCTTGAACTGGCTTCTGAATCTCATGTACAGTCGTAGGCAGAAAAGGGGAAGTGATTGTGKTACAGAAATGGAGTCAAGTGTCATCGTAGGGAGGAGTGTGTGGGAGGAGGAGGCTTGTAAGAACGAATAAAAGATAATAGTCTGTGGAACAAGAGCTGAAGAAAACCCAAGGCTAAAAATGCAGCCGAGGTACAAGATAATTTGGATAACTACAACAAGCACTCGGTGAAAAGTGGAAGTGTGGCTCATAYAGTGCCTTTGAGATAAGGTGTTGCTCATGGGAAGAAGAGATGTGGAAATTAGAGGTGGAGTAAAAGGAGGAATAAATTAAAAGTGAGTTCTGGACTGTCAGTGCAGACTGTGTTTGAGTCCATGGAAGAAACAATCCTCAAGTTTACAGAGAAGCAAGGGACTCACAATTATCATTTGACAGGTATTGTAATGGCTTTTGTCTAGTGAGATGATGGAGAAAAACTGTAAGGGTGAGGGAACTAAAGGTCTGTGACCACAGGAGGGAGGGAGGTGATAAGCACTGTCTGCTTCAGATAGGCAGGTTAAACCCTGTTGTGTGCAGAGCTGATTTGCATGGGATTGGTGTGAGTCTTGAATGCTGTGAGAGCTCTGTGTTAAAGTGAGGATAATTAGTACTGGTYTGCTGAATTCCAGCTCACCTGTTTTTGGGAAAAGATTGAGAACTGTTGATGTGGTATGTGCTGAGTAACTTCCCTTTTCTGTGTCTGCARTAATGCTTTGTGCCTCAGCAGGGATGAAGTGGCTTTTGCTGTCATAGTCCTGTGGAAGCAGGAGTTCCCAAGCTTGTTTTGCTGTCTTTGGCAAGGGCAGCAGTGACAGCAGCAGTTTGAGGTTGCATAAATGCACAATAGCTGACCTTTGACTTACGCTSTGATCCCTCTGTTTTTATCACGCTTATCTCTCTGACTGCCAATAATGAACAAACCCCTGTTTTCTGGCAAGTGCTTTGTGTTTGAATTGGGATTGCAGTTTTGCAGCAAATTAACTGAGACACTGTGGAGAACAAACAGCAAGAGCTGGTTTGTTGTTTTTTTATTCATTTGCACCAGTGGATGACATCAGTCTTCTGGTAGCAGGTGAAAGTGGGAGCCCCTGCAAAACATCTTGATTGAGAGTGAGCAGTTATAGGATGTGGTTGAGATGAATGGAGTAGTTTATGGCACTGCTGTTCCCWATTACTTTTTGGCCTTCAGATAGCTCCCAAAACCTGTTGAATGGTTTAGGTCAGGGTTCCTATTACTCCTTAATTCGTTCATGTTGGATTTGGGTATAATGCTCTGAATGTTGTGATTGTGTTTTCAGTGGCACACAATTGTGTGTCATCACTGCAGAGTGAGGATCTAGTTTAAAAATACTTATTTTTTTACTCTGTGTGTGCATTCTACAAATATCGAGGTGGTTGTCCTCTGTGGCTGAACTGAATCTCTTTTCCTCTTACTACAGCAAGTGCTGAATTGGAGGACATGAAGGATTTAAAATTAATAGAAAGAAATACCTAATTTTGGTTCCTTGATTAAGGCCTGCTTTAAATATAATCCATCTTAATTGGCCTCTTATCTTGGAGAGCACCTTGAATTGTGTATAGGTTCTGTTTGCAAGAGGTAAATTTATTACTATTTCAGTAACAGTTAAATATAATTGTTAGAATTATGCTTTTTCTGGTTTATTCTATTAGTATTGTTAAGAACAGATTACATGCCTGTTAGACACATGTAACATCTCAGATATGTACTAATATCTATGAAGAAAGGAAAGTGAAATTATCCATTAGATTTTTTTCCCCCTTGGAATTACGGAGGCAGGATTGTTCTTATTCATAAGAGTTCAAGTCATGAGYCCAGAAATTTGGTTCTCCAGCTCCTTTGAGCTTATTTACAGCCATGCTGCATAAAAAAGGAGACTGAAGGTTCCTGGTTTTTTGCCTTTGTTGGTTTTAAAGGGCTTGTGTGACTGAGGAGTGAGTCAGGTCAGTTTGCTGACCTGACTGGAAAGTAACTCACAAAGGTTAGTGAGCTGAGCTGRCTTAATTCATCCCAGGATTTTGTTTTTTTCCTTTTGGCAGGTGCTGCATACTGTCAGTTCATGGACATGCTCTTCCCAGGTTCTGTAGCACTCAAGAAAGTGAAGTTTCAAGCAAAATTGGAACATGAGTACATTCARAACTTCAAGGTTCTACAAGCAGGTTTTAAGCGAATGGGTGTCGACAAAGTAAGCTGTGCTGTAACTGACTCTAATGTTAACATAGATGGAATGAACTTTCAAATTTAGAACTGAGTAAATCTGGGAACAGAGTTTGCTTTTTGTTTATAAACCTCAAAACTTTTGGTTTCAGTTTTGTTTTGGGGTCCTCACTTCAGTTAGGACATGTTTTGCTTTACTTCATCCAAGGTCAGGTTTCTAGTTTTTAATGATGAGATGAATGTTTTCCTTTTAATTCTGTGCAACTTATGTGGCACAAACTAATACTGAAACTTCTATGAGATAAGGTTTGCTTGAGCTTCCTTTTTGGACCATCTTCGTATGAAGCATGTTCCCATAGCCTACTGCTATGATAGTCCTCAGGATTCCAAATTCCTCTTTCCAAGTGTATAGAATTATATAAWTTTTAAGGTTGGAAAATCCTTCTGAGAYCRTCAAGTCCAAATGTTCCCTCAGTACTGCCAAGCCCACCMCTAACCCATGTTCCCAAGTGCCACATCTACATGGCTTTTAAATAGCTCCACTTACTAAAAGATGTGATTTTTAGCTAGTGAAAAYGAGATTGTGAAAAAGCTTGTTCAGATGGAATGACAGTTCTGCTGATGGAAGGGGGATTTATCCAGGTGATAGTTACAGGCAGTGTGTTTGGTGGGATGCAGAACATAGTGTTGAAGCTTTTTCCTTCTTTAGGAAGACATCTCATTCCATGTCTGGCAGCTCCAACACAGAGTCAGTCTCTGCTTGGGGACAGTGSCTTGTGCAATCTGTCCACATAACCTGTCTGGACAGCCAGTCTGGCTTCCAAATGCCAAATGGTCATTTACAAAACAGTCGTTATGCAAAAAATTTCCCTACAAATAAAACTTCATTATTTGCTGCATCTTTTAAATAATCTTTAGTTGTACAGCTCATTTCAGAGAAGCTGTATCTGCTRTGTAGGTGATGTTTAGCTCTTGTAGCAGTTCTGGTGTTGGCAGGCTGTGGAGTTGGTCATCAGATTCATCAGAGCCAGCTTCACATGGACAGGAAGTTTTGTCTGCAAACTTGGTCTAGCAGAAACTTTGGTGCTGGATAATTTAAAATTATTTGGACCTTCACAGTGAAAGCATGATTTGTTTTTCATTCCAATAATTAGCAAAAATCCTGTTATTTGACATAGTTGTGGTCAAGGGGCATGTTCCCTAGACTGGACAAGAATTAAATTTCCATATCTTTGGAGTGCATTAACTTTAAAACTTTATGTAAAAACACAGAGAGGTTTTTTACCCTTAGTATCTGTCTGACTTTTTTTTTTTTTCTTTTTTTCCCCCGCTTCAGATAATTCCCGTGGACAAACTAGTGAAAGGAAAATTTCAGGACAACTTTGAATTTGTTCAGTGGTTCAAAAAATTTTTTGATGCAAACTATGACGGGAAGGAGTATGATCCTGTTGCTGCTCGACAAGGCCAAGACACAATAGCACCAAACCTCGTTACTCCAGTTGTGAACAAAACCAGGAAATCTCTTGGTACTGGCAGTGCAGGTAGAGAAAATAGTTCACAGATTATCTAGATCATGAAAAACTCTGGGGAAATGAAGACTGGGTTKCTATTTAAAATGAGTGTATGGGATTATAGTATTTTGCATCTTGTTTCAGAGATGCCAGGCTCAAACACTGAGGCTGCTATAGTACCCAGGTGTCTAAAGGCTATAGTAAGAACAGTCTTCTCTAAAAGAGAAAATGGCAAGAATTGGTGCCAAGTGTGCCAAAAAGAAAGGACATGTTACATGGAGTAAAGGAAGGAACATATCTTCAAACTCTTTCATGCCTAAGCATGTTTGGAGGGGGGACAGTACCTTTGTAGGAGGGAGAATGAATTTGAATTACTTGGTGAATTCATCTTGCAGCCCCGCAGAGGCCCATCGTTGCACAGAGGACCCCAGCAGGTCCCAAAGCTGGGCCTGGAATGGGCAAAAAGGGTGGAGGAGACGATGAATCGGCGGGATTGATCGAGCAGGTGTGTACAGGACARCCCTGGGACTGACCTCTGCTTGATAGAGTTATGTGCAGGTTTGTTTTTCCAGTAGCATGAAATGTCTGGGTCAGGCAGATGGAAGAAGATATTCTGAATCAGTCATTTAAAATCACTTAATTGGAATCCTTCATTATAATGCTCTTGCTCTCCTGATGGAATCAAAACCCCTCCTGTAGCACACGAGTGCCCAGACATTTCACCCCAGTGTGGGCTGTGTCACACATAGCRGAGTTTGTAAGTATTCCCACAGCTGTGTTGCAGCTCTCACAGCATTCCAATGGAGCTATGAGCAGCTGCTCCTTCACTGAAATCCAGAGTGCAGCACAACTGAACCTGCTGTCAGCAGGAGAGTTGTGAAAGAATGTGTGAGCAGAGCRGACTGCAGACAGTCAGTGCTTTACCTATTTTGTGGAATCAGCCATTTATCTTTCCAAATTTGTGGTTTGTGTGTGTTGGACTGGATGTTTCTTGTGGCAGTAGTATTAAAATTTGAGGAATGGCCCTCTTCCTCCTCTCAGAGTCACTCCTCCCCCTATTATCTTGGTTACTGCTGARGTGCTTTGCATATCAACACCCTTCTGAGAACTTTTGGAATGCCCCTTTTTGCATAGATCCTGCTGAATTCTATATCTGGTGGATAAATTATTATTGATSCCCCTTGGCAGATCAATGTATTGAAACTTACTGTTGAAGATCTGGAGAAGGAGAGAGACTTCTACTTTGGCAAACTGAGGAACATTGAATTGATCTGCCAGGAGAATGAAGGGGAGAATGATCCAGTGTTGCAGAGGATTGTGGAAATTCTTTATGCCACAGATGTAAGTAATCTGTTATAAACTGGGTTRCACATTTCCTCCCTGCCCTTGAAATTGGAAACTGGTTTGCTTTCCAGGGCTCCCTCTAGTTCTACTTTTTTTTCCCCCCCAAGAGGTTTATGGCCTAGCTTTTTCCTGTATTAAAGGAGCAGATAACTTAATTATAGTCAGACAGCAAACAAGGTAGACCTTTCATGAGAAGTATGTAACAAATAGATCAAAGATGAGGAAAATACTTCCGGTAATRCATCTTGACACTGTAAATAGAGACTTAAGGGTGTCTTACCTATAGTTAAAAAACAAAAGAGCCTACAGAGTAGCCAGAAACTGGTTTGACATCARATTTTCATTAAAGTACTTGTTTTCTTCCCCTTCAGGAAGGCTTTGTGATACCTGACGAAGGAGCGCCGCAGGAAGAGCAAGAAGAGTATTAACAGACCACATACTGTACCAGCAGAGCAGCAACATCAGAATTCTTTGCCCCAGATCATGTGCTTAACTGTAAAATACTCCACTTTATTCTTAGAGGACTCACTGGTTTCTTTTCATAAGCAAAAAGTACCTCTTCTTAAAGTGCACTTTGCAGAAGTTTCACTTTTACAGTGGGTTTGAGTTAGGAGCTCTTTCTCACACTGTAGCAGAGCAGTATTCACATCGAGGTGGTATATTTAGGGAGCAAGAGGCTGAATATTTGGAACTCGTTGCAGAGTAAACTCGATTGCTGGTAAAACACTGGTTTGTTGGAAGACTCTTTTTTTTATCTGAGGTGGTGTGCAGTAGAGAAGTTAAAGACTCTGACTCRCAGAAAGATTGAGTTAATGTGAAATTGCAGAACAGAAATTATAATAAATGCCTTAAGAGTATTTAAAATATGCTTCCATATGCCAAATTGAAGTAATGTGATGGGAGATTTTATGTGCTTCATATTGGGGTAGACGTTTGTTTAACTCCATTCACTGCTGTCCGAGAGGCCTTGCGTGGCAGTCTCACTGTGTCAGCAAGTGCTCAAAAGGGGCTATTAAAACAAAACTCCATTCCTATGTAAAGCTGCTTACTAAGTGATTAGTTCTCGATGAAATGGGCCTTAACGTTGCCTGTCACAAGATTAGAGGGAGTATGAACAGCTGAGACACATAAATTACCTTCAAGAGTGCTGAAGCCTTTTTCTGTGGCATTGTGGCTTTGCCAAAACGTACTGTGTTTTCTGTAAAGAATAACAAAGCAAAGGGCACACTTTGTCTTGCTGCCTAAAATGTCCTTCAGAAGTTATTTTTCTTCCTGGCTCTTGTTTTTATTTGTTCTGTTYATTTTCATTTCTGTTGGAATCCCTTCTGGTCTCTCACTTGTCGCTTTCCCATCCTGAGGGAATGCTGATCACCAACTACCAATAGTTGTAACAGGACTTGCACTGTGCAACTGGCTCTGAGTGAAAGTGAATTGATCACATGACAATATTTTTCTGTCTGCTTTCTTTTTTTCCTCCCTCCTTCAAACCAGGGCATATTAGTAATAACACTTGCCAGTTCAGTAGTCTTCTGGGGTAAAAGCTGAAAGATGCTGGCTAACAGAGCTAATGTTATTGCAGAAAATACAGTACTGAGACTAACTTAAATATTAATATTTAAAATACTTTCCTTAACTGTCCTTTTTTGCTATCATGCCCCTCATTACTGTTGTGTTTGGCAAGATCCTGCAAGACTTCTGACCCCCCTTCACTACTGAGATTGATCAGTCCTGTTGTGCTTGTATTCATTTGTTTCTGGTGGTAGCTTGTCCTAAAATGTGTGTAGGAGAGCATTTTATGGTAATTGTGTAGTGCATGAATCTTTGTGAAGTTCAGAGAAAAACCCAAATTCAGTGAATGCCAAAAATGCAAGTATCTAGCCATTGTTTAAAATTGCAGTGGTGCTATTTCTCTTGTGGCCTTTTAGACTTTCGTTGCCCTAAAACTCCATTTTACTGAGAAACCATATTTGACTTGGATTTTTCTTGACAGGGTTTTTCTATTTTAAGCAGTTTTTAAATAAAGTTCTGTATTTCAAGAGTGTCATGTCTGCTGGAGTCTCTCATGCTTTCAGATACGATTAGGCAGAGCTGAAGCCCGTGGTAGTCCATGGTGAAGCTTGCACGACTTGGAATTTCAGCTTCCATTCTCCAGCCCCAGGCATTGCTAACCTCARTAGCAGTAGTCTTGGAACTTTTTTTGGAGTGTGCTGGGGCAAATGGTTGTTTTATTTTTTTGGGTTTTTTTTACCCTTTATTTTCCCTCCCACAAATCAGTGGGGTGTGAGTGTGGTGTTGACTTCCTCCTCCTCCTCTTGSTGTGGGAATAGGGATGTGTTGCAGGAATGCTGTTGCATGACTTTACATGTGTTCAAGGTGTTTTGAAACTGCTGAAACACTGGTTATGAGTTACAAACGAGATGTTAATTGTTTCTGTCACCAGGCTCTGTGAGCAGACTGACTGTAAACTGAGTTGATCTCTTTGATTTGAAGTGTGTTTCTTAGGTGAGTTTAAATGTTCCTGTCACAGCTGTGTGCACAGACCAGCATCTGCAGAGAAGTGCTCATGGGATGTKTCTGACCTTGGAATGGGAAGTGATCCCTGCAGGGCTGCTCCCATGCTGAGGAGCACCCTTCCTGCCCCTGAGGGCTCTGTGGGTGCCTTCCTGTGGAGAACAGGCACTGCTGGCACTGCCTGCTGGTGTGGCACAGCTGGGGCTGGACTGAAACAAGCGTGATGTAGACCCAGGGTTTGATGCACATAAAATCTTCTTTCCCATTACTTCCTTGCTTTGAAGTCGGAAGCATATTTTTTTTTCGACTCTAAATACACCATTATTCCAGCAACTCGAAGCAAAAGGTGGCAGTGGGATGTGGCTGAAGGTGAAGATGACTTTTGGGAGGTCGAAGTTGTGCACTGGGACCTGGTTGCTTCAAGTCTCTTTCCAAGAGGATTGCATGTGTGGAACTGGGAAGCACCCAGGTCATCAGATGGGTTGATTTTGGTCAAAGCAAGTAAAGAGCCTTTCCTGCTGAGAGAAGGCTGAGTCAGAATTCCTGCTGGTGTGCCTTGGGAGGCTGATGGATGTGTGGACATATTGGACGTGCATTATAAAGCTGAATTGCAGTGGCAATCTGGTCAGTCACACGCTGCTCAGATTTCCAGTTACTTACATCACTTCTTTGCTACCAAGATGAGTTTTAAATAGAATGGGGACAAACTCATTAGCCAATTTATGGCTCCATTATAATATCTTGGCATAATCTGGTTTTTAATGTCCCTTTTGGGGAGCAAATTACAGTAAGCTCAACTCAAACCCATAGACTTAACATAGCTACTCTGTTACCCTGGTACAGTATATGCTGTTAAATGCTCACCTGCTGGAATGATTCTGAAAGCATCCAACCTTTCCTAGTATCTTAGTTCTGTCAGTTCTTTGAAAAACAAACAGAATGGAAGAAGCAAAAGCTCATGTCTCCTTTCTGTACCAACATGTCTTACTTGCAGGTGGACTCGTGGATGTTTTTTTTAACTTTTATTATTCATTTTTTAAAGAATTCCTGGTTTGCATTGACAATTCTTACTGTAACTGGTAAAAGCCTTCAAATAAAGGCCAGAAACTTTCTTGTTGTCATATCATATCACTGTTTAATGTGGCTGCTTGAGCACTCAGTCATTTCCTAGGTTGTCTGGTTGTACRTCCTTTCACAGGAACAGGCTCGGGGGTAGGAGTTGAGAGCATCTTGTTTAGGATAAGGCTGGAATCTGCTGCTCACAAAGGAAAGGTATTTTTTTGCAAGTCGWTGTGTAAACTCAGAGGGCTGTGCCATAGATTTCAGGCCAGTCTGGTGGTGCACACCCTGTGCCWGTATTCCTGTACTAGAACAACAAAAAGGGCATCATGGCATGGGCTATCATTGCAGGGCTGTGACCAGCCCAGGGTACTGACAGAGGAGAGGGGATTTGTGTCGGGACAGCTGGGGAAAACTGATCTTTTAATTGAGAGAAAGTGAGGTGAGATAGAGCTGTTGCATATTCATAACAACCACTTCTGGTTAATTGGAATGTGAAATAGTGGATGGGAGGGAATGCGGCAGTGCTCTCAGAAAGCAGAGAGCAAATCCAAAGGAGCTTCTGCAGAAAGGAGACCTGAATGACCTGGTAAGTGAGATCACTTGGGGTGAGATGTGTCTGGCTGTTGGTTCCTCACAAACATCCTGTGTGGAGAGTTAATGAGCCTGGCAGGTCATTGAAAGGAGGGATGTTAAATGTGTGACCAGRGAGTATGGTGGGGGTGCATGGGTGTAGAAATTAGAGAAAGTTGCACTGATAMAGGAAGAGGATAAATGCATAAGAACAAAATCATGCTGTGGAACGGCCCAGGCAAAAGTGGAGAGGTGTYTGACATGGGAGAACAGCCCTAAGGACAGGAAGGAAAAGTGCACTGTTTTATGGCTAAAGGGGAGGGATGGGTGCACAAGCACTGGGCAGGGTGGTGTGCTCAGGGAGCTGTGCTGCACGAAARGAGCTGGCTTTGATAAGGGCAAAGTCCAGACAAAGAAAGGGAAAACAAATGGGATTTCCTTTTTGAGTAACACCTGTTAAGCAGAAGAATCTGACCCTCTGGAAAAAAATGGTCTTTTTGAGAGTGCATAGACTTAAACTTTTAAGACTATCTTCCAAGAAAATATTTTCCTTTTTAATAGAGAAGGAACAAAAACTAAACTGAAACTTCTAAGACCAAAAAGGAAGTTTCCAGAAGGCAACCCCAGCTTTGCAGAGGCAAAAGCCACTCTCTGTAAAAGCGACTCTTTTTTAACACAGCTGGATGGCTTTGTGAACTGTGGCCTTTAAATAAATATATTTAACTTTGATATATATTATTATATGTATAAATATTTATTTAAACAATATATAAATATTGAAACAGTATGACAACATACAAYAATATTAAATATTATATATAGCTATGTTATACACATGTTATTTATACATAGACATATATATACATTTACATATAAAAAATGGTTTTGTCTGACCTATCGGAACTGTAGGGCACAGGAACTGGAGTAATTTTTGTTTTCAAGTCCAACAGATGTTTTGCGGACATTTTCCTCTYGAAAATATTTCATAAAATGGTTGCCTGTCAATCTTCTCTGACTCTGATTTTGTCCCCAGGGGATGCATAAGGATGAATGGACATTCAGGAAGCATTAAATCTCAGAGGACAGCATGGATATAAATCTCAACGTGTCCAAAGCTCTGCAGGTTGATATTTATGGGGTGATGAGCAGATGAGGTTAAAATGAGGGATGGTGGAGGTGGGTCTGTTTTCAAGACCTGAATATAAACCTGTGTTTAATCTTGGCTTTTCTYTCAAGGAAGGGCTTTCTGGGAGAGTGGGGAGGGAAATGGCCAGAGAGGTTTGTRACAGTGGCTGTGGGGATGAGGGTGAAGCCCCACCCTGGAGCTGTCTCCTGTGTGCTGTGGGTGCACGGGGAGGTGGGAACAGATGGAATGTGCTGCTGCAAGGGTGAATGGCATCAAAAGTGACAACCATCTCCCTCTGACACAGTGCTGYGAGGTGGGACACGAAGAGCTGTGCTAACTGGTTTCCTTCTGTTTCAGGTGAGGCTGATTTGTGTAAGGCATCTTCACACTAGCAGGAGCTGTGAGGGGTTAGTGTGGGTGGAAAAGCTGTGCAAGCAGAGGCCATTCCTTAAAGAGAGCGTTGGAAAGAGTGACCTTGTAAAAATCACTGAATTGTTTGGGTGGGAAAAACCCTCCAGGATCATTGAGTCCCATCCTCCCCCAGCACTGCCAAGGCCACCATGAACTGTGTCCCCAAGTGCCACATCCACATGGCCATGGCCACATTCACATCCCCTCTGGGCATGGGGACTCCGCTGCTGTCCTGGGCCACCTGTGCCATGGTCTGACCATCCCATCAGGGAAGAAATTTCCCCTAATATCCAACCTAAACCTCCCCTGGCACAACTAGAAGCCATTTCCAGCACGTTTACTGTACTGCATCTGGCCCTTCCTTTCTGCAGGATACAGTGATGAGATTCTCTGTGCTGTCAGAGCTCCTTGTGRTCCATTCAGGAATCAGAATGTTTTTCAGCCAAGGAAACTCTCAGAGAGAGGTCAGTGACTGTTTCTCACAGGTACGTCTCCTGCCGAACAAGAGGAAGATACTATTTCTGATCACTTACAGTAAACAACAAACTGGCTGGGAAACATCTCTGGAAATACTTGATGAAATGGATTTCGTCTCCTCGTAACTTATGATATACTTCTTTTGAAAAATGTTCCTTTGCTTCCTCCTTCAAACATTCAATATTTAACAGCAACAGCATTCATGCTCG